AATGAAAAAAATATTTTTAAAATTTCAAATTTCAAAGGGGAAGGGGACTGCTACATGTAGTTTAATTAGCGTGGGAAAAAGGTACCTGCTGTGAACAAGCGATTCCCTTCTGACATGTGCCCCTTATCTTTATCTATATAGGCTCTCCAATACCACGTATCAAAACACATGCATGTAGCCGTCTCAGCAAACTCCACAAAAGGAAAAATACCCCATCAGAATAACCGTCTAACAAGGTACTGTGGGTGTGCGGTATTTTTAAACATGTCCTTTTTTCGTTTAGGTTTGATATTTCTGTTGATGTATGTTGCTCATACTTGTAGTGCTGGCAAACAGAAGATACTGATTTTTCCTTTTTCAAATATCTATAACTCGAGGACCATGAATTTAGAGAAGATCGCTGTCATGTTGAGGGACCACGACTTTCACGTCACCATGTTGGTCTCTCACCACTATTCACCTAAAAGGAATATAGATGGCGTCAACTTGATCAGGTACAAAATGCCTCAACTACAAATTAATAAGGGGGGAGAATTGGACCTGAACAGTTCACTTCATTACATCGAGAAAGATGTGGTGCCATTTCTTAGGCAAATAGATGAGATGGACTTTACACTCTGCGAGGTTCTTCTTAGCAGCAAAGACATATTGAATAGACTGAAAGAAGAAAAGTTTGATCTGTTGTTCTTTGACTTTGGCAATGTTGGCTCAGGTCCTATTTTGAATGAATATCTTGGCATTCCTTCCATCGCTTATTCTAATTTTGGATTTATGGAAACTTGGACTATATTCAAACAGCCCACGTTTAATTCTTATACGCCTGGTATATACAGCTCCTTCTCTGATAAAATGACATTTTGGGAAAGAGTGCAAAATACAGACATGATACTTGACATTGAAAGTTGGGCCAGCGATAGAATAGATCATATTGAAAAAATGAAGGCCAAGTACCTGCCCAACAACAACTGGCCACATGCTAAGCACTCATATGAACGAGTGTCTCTGATGATTGCCGCCAACGTCAATTTTGCGTTTGACTTCCCGCGACCTGTCATGCCTCACGTGATACCCATCTCTGGACTTCTTTGGACACCGCCTAAGACGTTGCCGAAAGAATTCATCAATATTGTAACATCTGCCACTAATGGAGTTATTGTGATGAGTTTTGGGACACTTGTGCCGACTTTCAGTATTGAAAAGGCGGAGATTTTGGCCAGAGTGTTTTCCAAGCTCTCACAGACTGTCATCTGGCGTTACCAAGGTGCTTCTCCTAAGTCTTTGGGAAGGAACACACACCTGGTAGAATGGCTGCCACAGAATGATCTTCTTGCCCATCCTAACATCAAACTGTTCATCACCCACTGTGGAGTAAGCAGCACATGGGAGACCCTCTACCATGCAGTTCCTGTGGTTGCAATTCCACTTCTTTGGGACCAACACCAACACGCAAGGAAATTGAAGGAACGTGCGAGAATGGGTGAAATTATAAGCTTCGGTACCCTAAATGAAGAAGAATTAGAAAGTACTATTCTCAAGGTCTTAAGTGACAAATCGTATAAAGAGAACGCGGTTAAGATGTCTAAACTTCTACAAGACGCCCCAATGTCGGGACAGGAGGAACTGTTGTATTGGATTAAGTATGTAATAAGACACAATGGAACTCTTCACTTTCACTCTCATGCTGCTTACAATCTGAACTGGTATCAGTATTACCTATTGGATGTCATTGCTTACAAAACTGCAGCGAGATGTTTGTATTATTTCGTTTACCTTCTTCCAGTAGTAATTCTTTGGAAAGTACTTAAAGTTCTGTTCATTCGTGAAAAACCTAAACACGCCTGACTTCATTATTGCGCCCTTGAAAAGTAAAAGATTTAGAGGCCAAAACGTCATTTAAAATGATGAATCATTTAGTCTGCACATCACTGTTAGCCCATTACCTGTATCAGAACGGGGCAGTTGAAATTGTTAGTTTCATTTGAGAGAGACTGAGCTAATAAATTATTAACATAATTAGTAAATAGATTGAAAATGAAGAAGAATGAAGATGTTGATAATACGTTAGCAATTAAACATCGGTGGATTTTCATTTATTCATTTGTCGTGTCAGTTAGTGCACAGAATTTAAACATTTCTTAAAATGAAGCCAACGAAGACCAAGAAAATTACTAGAATAACCGAAGACATATTAGGGTAACCGTCAAATTTGAAATGTTACATGATACATTCAAGCACCTCTGTCATTGCCATACAATTTGTGATATTTTTTAACAAAAGAAGAACGATCAAGATAAAACTTTGACAAAAAAAAAAAAAAAAAAAAAAAAATGATAGAGCAAATTTTTTATCTGTATTCCGCCATTCCAAGGTGAGCAGCTGGTGGAGAACTGCAAATCAAGTAGACACCTTTCTATTCATTCTGCTATCTTTGCGATGACTCCACATTTTAGTAGGTACAAGTTTGTGCCCTGGCGGAGTGATAAGTTTATTATAAAGTCATGAAACTATCTACCGATGTCAATAACCATGTGCCCTTTAAAGAGGATGACACTTATACGATATGCCAAGTTGCAAAACGCGGTTAAGATGTCTAAACTTCTACAAGACACCCCAATGTCGGGACAGGAAGAACTGTTGTATTGGATTAAGTATGTTATACGACACAATGGAACTCTTCACTTTCACTCTCAGGCTGCTTACGGTCTGAACTGGTATCAGTATTATCTATTGGATGTCATTGCTTACAAAGCTGTAGTGAGTTGTTTGTATTATTTTGTTTTTCTTCTTACCGCAGTTATTCTTTGGAGTGTGCTTAAATTTGTGTTCATTCGTGAAAAACCCAAAAATGCGTAATTTCATAATTGCACAGTTAGTACTTTAGTTTGGATTAAAAAGACAAATCGACTTGAAAACAAACAGCCAAAACTATGGCCATTATGAAATCAACTTTGAATAATGTACGAAAAGTAATTATATCCTTTAATTATGAATATTCAAAGTCTGTACTTAGTGGAATATATAGTTGGGCATTGCCTGTCACACATTGTCTTACTCGTATTTCTAATTTGCTGCAAACCACTACGGTGTCTAATTTAGTTGTCAGAATGAAAAGAACTGTGAATTTTCATTAGTTTTAATAACATAGTCAGCAAGATATAGATATCTTCATATTTTTGTTCGTCATAAACCAGCTACATGCACCGTGCTTATGCAACCTACTGATTTGTGTCCTAACTCGGTCAATCACGGTCAGTAAAGATAAGGTTTGTACTTTAAGGGCTCATTCCCCATTGAAACTATGGGTCTAGGTAGATCAATCCAGCTCCGCGAGGACTCTCGCACAAATACAATTAGTTTAAGAGATTAACATGTCTCCTCCTGTTTCTAACGTACTCGTGTGATCACCAGCTTTTCTGTTTTCTGCTCAACGCCGGAAGGAGGCGTGTTAGTCTGTTAAACTGATTGCATTCAACGAGATTCCCCACAGAATTGGATCGAACTACGTAGACCAATAGTTTCAATGGGAATGAGCCCTAAGACAGGGACGCATGCTCTTCCTTGATAAATACGTGTCACAAGGCAACATACACAGCCAAGCAAACTGAACTGATTGGAAAGAGTTGAGAAAAAATTTTTCGGAATAATGCATCTTCATTATTTATTTTAAGTGTATGTAGTTTAACAAATATGTTCTGAAAACGAACATACATCAGGCCAGTATCCGGGGGGAGGGGGGGAGGGGGGGTCGAAAGAACCGCCCCTTTTGCTGGGAAAAGGTCCACTCTGGGTAAAATTTGATCTAGGTACATGAAGTTTTTATGGGAAAATATCCACTTTTTCAGAAAAAGAAACCCCCTTTTGAAATTGCTGGCTACGGGCCTGTACATGAAGCCACCTGTGCCCATCAGGTCAACTGGACTCCTGTATGACTTGGATTGGCCGGGAACTAAGTTTGAAATAGGTCCAATATACCCCATAAGTTAAAAGTCGTTTACAAAACCTAATAAGGTTTCCCGACAATTACATAGGTTTCCTGTCTACATGATGAACTAACATGCTAGTGCAAACTCTGAGATCATTTCATGAAACATAAGCTTTCTAAAGTGAGCGTGTGAAAAAATACCTGTAATTGAACGCGCGATTCATTCATGAAATGGGTACCTTATCGTTATCTTTATTTACTGCCAAACATCAAGAATCAAAGTGCAGAATCGTATTGACGCACTACGAGAGGCAAAAAACCCTTCTGACGACCGTCCAACGGGGCACTGTGACTGTGCGGTATTCTTAAACATGTTCTTTTCCAGAGCAGGTTTGACTGTACTTTGTTTGGTATTTCTACTGGTGTTTGTGCCGCACACTTGTAGAATCGCTGGAAAAAAGAAGATATTGATCTTTCCTTATACGAATGTTTACAATTCGAGGACCATGAATTTGGAGAAGATCGCTGTCATGTTGAAGGACCACGACTTCCACGTCACCATGTTGGTCTCTCACCACTATGCACCTAAAAGGAATATAGATGGCGTCAACCTAATCAGGTATAAAATACCTGAACTGCAGATGAATAAGGGGGGAGAATTCGACTTGGACAGATCACTACGTTACATCGAGAAAGACGTGATACCATTGCTAAGGCAAGTAGATGAGATGGATTTCGCAGTGTGTGAACATCTTCTCAGTAGCAATGGCATTTTGGACAAACTGAGAGACGAAAAGTTTGATCTGTTATTTTTCGACTTTGTTAATGTATGCTCGGGTCCAATTATATATGAATCATTTGGTATCCCATCCATTATGTATTCCAATTTTGGGTTTATGGAAACTTGGACTTTATTCAAGCAGCCAACGTTTTACTCTTATACACCGGGTATATACAGTTCCTTCTCCGATAACATGACATTTTGGGATAGAGTGCAAAACACTGATATGCTACTGGACTTGGAAAAGTGGGCCAGTGATAGAATAGACCATATTGAAAGAATGAAGGCCAAGTACCTGCCAAACAACAACTGGCCACACGCTAAGCACTCGTTTGAACGAGTATCTTTAATTATTGCCGCAAATGTTAATTTTGCTCTAGACTACCCGCGACCTGTCATGCCCCACGTGATACCAATTTCTGGACTTCTTTGGACCCCGGCTAAGCCTTTGCCCAAAGAATATGAAAATATTGTATCTGCTGCCCCTAATGGAGTCATCTTGGTAAGTTTTGGGACACTTGTGCCCACGTTCAGTATTGAAAAGGCGGAGATTTTGGCCAGAGTGTTTTCCAAACTTTCACAGACAGTAATCTGGCGCTACCAAGGTGTTCCTCCCAAATCTGTGGGTAATAACACACATTTAGTAGAATGGCTGCCTCAAAATGACCTTCTTGCCCATCCTAACACCAAACTGTTCATCACCCACTGTGGAGTAAGCAGCACGTGGGAGACACTGTACCATGCAGTTCCCGTGGTTGCAATTCCACTTCTTTGGGATCAACACCACCATGCAAGGAAATTGAAGGAGCGCGCGAAAATAAGTGAAACTGTAAACTTTGGTACCCTAAACGAGGAAGAATTAGAAAGCACTATTCTCAAGGTCGTAAGTGATAAATCGTATAAAGAGAACGCGATTAAGATGTCTAAACTTCTACAAGACACCCCAATGTCGGGACAGGAGGAACTGTTGTATTGGATTAAGTATGTAATACGACACAATGGAACTCTTCACTTTCACTCTCATGCTGCTTACGGTCTGAACTGGTATCAGTATTATCTATTGGATGTCATTTCATACAAAGCTGCAGCGAGTTGTTTATATTATTTAACTTGGCTTTTGCCTTTAGTCATTGTCTGGAAAGTATTTAGATTTGTGTTCATTCGTCTGAAATGTCTGATTGCATTTTTGCACCCTTGAGAAGTGAATTGATTAGACATAAGGCGTCATTTTGATAAATTTATTGAAAAACTCATTATCAGTACACGGGTATTTATACCATTGTTTGCTGACAACTTATTCACAGTATGGCTCAAATTTCATAACGGTTTACTTAAATATAGTATGGGACTGAAACATTAGCTACGTCTTCCTTGTTATTACATGGTCGAAATATTTTAATTGAACTATTTTAGTAAGTAGATTTTGGTTTAGACGAATTTTCAGGCTTAAGTTATTTTGCGCCACAGACCCAATGCAGTTTGTATTTTTCGCACAGCATGTGTTATTTCTTCCACGAGGTCAAAGTGTCCTTCACCCTTTCTTGCACTCTTTATCATTATGGGACAGTTTATCTGTTAGTTTCCCCAGATAGGAACCCAGAACAAAAATAAATTTGTTGAAGATTACTATGTGAAAATGAAATTTTCTTGAAATTTACAAAGGAAAAGAATCTTTAATTGTAAACTAAATTCTTAACATAGACACTTTCTGAAGATCCCATGCAAATAACTCCCCCCAGAACCGCCCTCGTTGAAATAACACAGGTAATAAAAAATTATGGTAACAAGCTCATATATATGTGAATTTCATCTCACAGTAGCACCAAGGATGTTGCTATACATACTTACACAGTATCACAATAGACTGTGGGACTGTGCTGTGCACGTGATAGTTCCACTGATTCAGGATGTAAAATCCACGGGAACTATTACCAGAGATCACTCCAAGTCTGTCTTCAGTACCTTTTTTTTTTTTAATTTTCTTAGAACAAATTGCAAACCCAAGGCAAATGTGCAATTTTCTTTTAATTATTTTTTTTATTTTTTACAGTGCTTCATGAAGTCAATACTATACAATACTGTTTCTGAAATTGTTCGACATTTGATCAGATGAAGAAAATTTCCCTTTCCTTACAGCTTACAGTAACAATTTACATGCATGATATTCAAACTAAATATTTTAATAACCATCAGCTTAATTACAAAAACATACATTGTAACTGAATGGATATTTACAAGGACATAATTTGACAGGCCTCTCCCATAATGACTAGGTTTATTACTATATGGTTCTGAACTTTCACTTCCATAACTTTGAAACTATTTTCCAACTGACACAGAATCTAAAATGTGATATGTGTTTATCAGTTAACTTTTCTATTTGTAATCCAGAGACGTTTCAGAGACGTTAAATATTTGAAAAAAAAGTTCTTAGTTTCTTGGAAATATAAAATGATCCTTGGCACCAATTTAATAGTACCACCATTTTTCAAATTGATTTGGTGATAATCTCATTTTATAATGACACACTGTAGAGAGACTGGTATCCAATCTTAAATCGAGGTAGACTTTGAAAATTCCAAGTGGAGCTGGCATGGCAAAAACTTGAAACTCTAAACCACAAAGTAAATTGTTGCACAAATTTTATCAAAATTGCCAGTCCACCTTCACTACTGCTTCATTTTGGACTGGAAATGGATACATTTTTTGTCATGACTGGTAAAGGCAGTGAATATTCTCATTTTTACAACTATGATTTTAAAATGAGATATCAGTACTATCTATCTAAAAAAAACATTATTTCATGTTCCAAAAGTCCACATTTTGCTTTTGTCACATCACAAACACTATGTGTAAAGCTTGATTTCTCTCTGTGCCCAAATTTCAATAAATACAGGCACAAAATGCTGTCTGTTATTTCTCACCATTTTTCCATTTCACTTCAACACTCATTATTCCCCTTTGGAGTATTAAAAACTTGTCAATCTTTCCAATTTCGCTTTCATCATCTGGCAAGATATCAAATGCTGTCATTTTCTCCCCCCAAGCTTCCTGGTGCCAATCATATCATCATGTTTCAGTTCCTTACATTCTAAACACTCCAAATTTAGTTTGGACTTGCTCGGCATTCAGAGCAGCACTTATACTAAGCCCTAGGACGTTTCTGGTGTCCACTGGGTCTATCACACCATCATCCCATAACCTAAAGCAGGATCAAAGAACCATGGTTACCATCAATCATTTTTGAATGAATTTAATAATTATTAAGGTGCAATTTTTGATTGCCAGTCTCTTAAAATATAAAACTTTAAAATATGGAATTGAAAAAGTTTACAGGTACCAACTGTATTCCAATCCTTTGACCATAAACAATGATACAAGTGAAGAGCATTACCTTGCACTGGAGTAATATGGGCTTCCTTCCTTTTCATACTTCTTTAATATTGGTTCTTTTATAGCCTGTTCTTCTTCTACAGTGAACTGAAGCAATATGATCAGAGATTTATCAAAAAGTTAACACAAACAGAAAAAAATTGTATTCAAATAAGTCTATGTATGATTATGCTTCTCACATAAACAATTAAGACTGTAAACAATTACATCAGCTTTACAAAAAGTGAGAAAAATATATGTATATATATATGTATATTCTTCCACTGAAATCATCTACTGAGTCTACGAAAGTTTAAGAAATAAATTATGCTCAGAGAACTAAGAAATTATTTATTAACAAACCAAAACAATGTTTTTTAATATCTCTGGAAAGAAACAAAATGATAATCAGCCCTGTGCTTTTATATATACCTATTCACAAAACACTCTCACACATTTTTTCTTTTTCTATTAAACAAAAATATAGTACACAGAGATCTTTTCGTGTAATGGAAGTACACAATAAAAATGCACACAGCTTAAGAGCTGATTAGCCTTAAAACCAATACAAACTGAAACCATCAGGCAATCAGATCACTCAAAGGGACCTATCACACATCATTTCAAATACCATCTGGTGAAATCAATTGGACTACATGGGTTTTAGGGTGAAACTGGTCTATACATGATCCCCAAACTCACTTCTTTTCCTTCTCTCAACCGTTGCTCCCTGGCAATCTGTGACAGGACCCCTGCTGCCTGCTCCCCACCCATCACTGAGATTCTAGCATTGGGCCACATGTACAAAAATCTGGGCCTGGGATATGTATAAAAAAATAATAATGTGAAGGAATTGTTAAAAAAATGACAAAAAGACTGTTGTTGCAGTATGTAACTTACAGTACTGAAATAAATAGCAAATCCCATTCATGAGAAACTGTGAAGTTATTTGCAAAAATGTAACTTTTTTTCTCCAGAAAATAATTTTTTTACTTCTAATAACACTACTTGAAAAACAAGTTATTTGATTCTCTATTATTTAACCTACCCATAAGCCCTCCCACACATCCCATAATTCCCTGCACCATAGGAACCTCCTACAATCACAGTGAACTTTGGCACGTTTGCACAGGATACTGCTGTTACCATTTTAGCTCCATTTTTGGCAATGCCTCCTGCCTCTGCCTCTTTACCAATCATAAAACCTGGAATATTTTATTAAAAATCAGCACAAAATTGAACTCTTGCAACTGTAAGAACTCTTTCATAAGATAGCACATAGCAATTATCTTTCCTTAGATTTTTTAGAAGAACCGCTGACTGTGAATGAAAAAGCATCTACAGCAAACCTGTTATTTTAAAAGAAATATTGCCTGCATAAGTATGCTCTTTTTATATAAGAATGTTTTTATTAAAAAATAAACAGTTTTCAACTAATATCTAAGTCAAAGCTTCAGCAACAAAATTTCTTTTGATTATGAAAAATGTCTTTGACTCTGTTATGTAAAAACAAAGAGCAGCTGACCTGTAATGTTTTGAAGAAATATCAAAGGTATTCCCCGCTGGCAGCATAACTCTATGAAATGTGTTCCCTAAAACATATTACATACATGGTAATTATTAGTAACTACATGCTATCCATATCTTTACTTCAATTTCATTTCTATTATTTTTCAGAGACTCTACCAAACCACTGTAAATTCAAAACTGCCATAAACAGAATTCAGAGTAATTTTTATATTTTATTTTTTCATTCAGTCCAAAAGCCTATATCATAAATTGCCAAAATCACTGTAACACTTAGATAATATTTCAGTTTCATTGAAAAAGGTGGAACATTGAAGTACCTTTAAGGCAGACTCTGAGAAAAGAACCCCGTTGTTTCCCAGAATGCCCACAGGATAGCCCCAGAGCCTGGCAAACCCACAAACTAAAGTATCTCCATACATTTCCTTGAACTCATCAAACCTGCTGCCATCAACAATCCTAGCTATTACCTGGAAGAACATAAAATTGAGAATTTTTTTCACTACTGCTTATTAGAATATTTGTACATCTATATTTTTATGCTTTTGCAAATCAAATATTTATATATTTTTTCTGAATTATATATATGAAGTTCAAGAGACCTGTTGGATTCGAATGACACAACATGAAACCACGGAATTCTTTAAATAAAAATAACAGATAGTGAATGTGACTGAATCTTAGAAATCATGTTAAATCATGACTTATAACACTTTGAAATTTCAGATTAACACCAACTGATCCTTCAGTAATGCTAACATTCTGTTCAATTAATGCCATCTAAGGCATTCTCTTACATTCTCAGTTGGCAGACACACACCACTTACTTCTCTAATATCATATGTTTTCTTTAGATTATCTCCAACAATGCCATAAATCTCATCTGCGGAGTGAGCAGGAGCTTCTGGTTCCTCCATAGTTACCTGAGAGAGAGTGGAAAGAGTCATCAAATAACCACTGCCATACTCTCATGCTTCAAAAATCAAGTTAAAGATATAATGAAAAATATTCCTGTGGCACAATGTTGTAATTCCAACTTTAAATGAGTTCAGGAAATTCTTTAATTATTTAGTTCTGTGCTTAGACTCCACCCCCTGATTACCAGCATTTTAAAGTTATAACAACAATGACAAAAGCAGTACATGTTAAATACTGTTTACTCACGTATTGGAAGTAAAAGAAAATACTATACCTGAGGTCTTTTTGTATAATTCAGGTTTTTAATCACCCTCCTGGCTCTGTGGAGGGCATGCAGGTCATCTACTGCATAGTGGTCTGTGACACCAGATTTCCTACAATATGGCAGTGTTCATATTTTAGCATATAAGTTTACTTATCCAACATTTTAATATGTAATTAAATTGACAAAGTGACAAACAGTTCCCTTTTAAAATAAAATTTAAGTGAGGCTGGGGAATAGATAACTGTTGCTTTAAAAATCCTTTTGCTTTAAAAATTTAATCATCATGTCATTTATCTGGCAAAAGAATATAGGAATATTTTCTAAATAAACAAACATTATTATTATTCAGTAAGAATTGTGTAACAAATATTTTACATATTAATATTAACTTGACCTAATATAATCACAGATGCTTAGCAGACATATTCAGGCCATAACACCTGCAATACCTTAGCTTACCTGCAGTGAAGATCTGCCCCGCCCAGATCTTCTGCAGACACTTGTTCCCCTGTTGCTGCTCTGACCTAATGAAACAACATTACACATAAGAACTGGAAAATGGCCCAAAAGCACAGACCCAGGCAAAGGAAATAGACAATACAAAGTATTAGGAAACCCAGGTTCTTTCCGTGCTGAATGACTGTCTGTCCTGAGAGTTTCTTCAAATCTTGTGAAGATATTTTTGAGACTGCTTATCTATTAACAATGAAAAATCACAAACTGATTCCAAAATTAAGGATAATTCCAAATGTGACCCTTGTGTCAAAATGCAACTGTTCAGTACCTTTAGCTCTACTTTGATAGTAGAATCATATACAATATCAATAACACTGTACAATGAAACCATTTACAATAAGTCTAATATAACACTAAATTTGTAATTATGGTCCAATATATCAACATAAGATAGAATCTTTCTATTATAAGTACCAATTCCTGATATACCCCTCCAAAATATATTTTTCCTTCACCTCTGAACTCACATCTACACTATGGATCAGATTATAAACAGAGTACTTACTAGAGGTGGTCCTCCAAGAAATATAGTTCCTTGTTTACCAACAATAATACTTTCATCTGCCATTGCTGGCACATATGCACCGCCTGCAGTGCAGCTCCCCATCACCACGGCAACCTTAACAAAATAAAGGGAAAATCTTTAAAAAATAAAATTGTGCAGCCATTGTTAAGTCTCACAGAAAAACTGGAATGAGTTAGGTGTGACAAGTTTTGACATCCCTCACCTGAGACATAAACTTAGATACACTGGTTAATTGTAATGTAGTATGAAGTAGTATGATGTGTTAGTTGTGACAGAGCACCAAAGTATTTATATGAGACACACACTACCTTACCTGAGCTATCCCCTGGGCAGACATATTAGCCTGGTTGTAAAATATTCTACCAAAGTGGTGTCTATCTGGAAAGACTTCATCCTGGCGAGGAAGGTTGGCACCCCCAGAGTCAACTGAATACCAAATACACCATGCAGCCACATTACCAAAAACATTTACTTGATATAACATTTACAATGATGTGGCAAAACACAGAGTGCATTCAAAAAGTAAACAACAAGAAGCTTAACCAATAGCCAACATAAAACTTTAACATACTCTGGAGGTGGTTTTATTTCAAAAGTTGGTTTTAAGCTGCAGACCAACAATCTCAAGACAGCACAAACTTTTGTGCAGAAACTGAATGCACTGCTGGGAAAAATATATTTACTTTACTCACCTAAATAAATACATGGTAAGTGGTTTTGTTGAGCAATCTCTTGAGCCCTTATGTGTTTCTTCACAGTAATGGGATAGTAAGAACCGCCTTTTACTGTTGGATCATTGGCCACTATCATACATTCAACTCTGAAGATGTCAAAAAAAAATATATAATAATAATAAAATTGAAATTAATTGAGATTGTAAAACTGATAATAAATTAAACAGAAATGCATTAAATTCTATTACACAGAGCGACAGCCTTGAATTGTTCCCAATGAATGCAACAATTCTGAAGCAGTTAAAATATTTAGAAACTTAAAGAAAAATCAGTTGTGCACCAATAACATGATATGGCATTTACCCGGATACTCTGCCAATGCCTGTGATAATTCCCCCAGCAGGCACCTCTTCTTTACCATACAGGTTGTAACCAGCCAACTGAGACAGTTCAAGAAATGGAGACCTAGGGAAGAATTTGGATAAGAAATTTGAATGCAATGAACTGTGTGTACTAAAATGAATTTTGAATATATTTGAATTATGAGACTGTATTGCTAATTACTAACACTCAACATCACCAAATCATTTGATGTACAAGTTGCTGTATCTCTCTCTCTCTCTCTCTCTCTCTCACACACACACACACACACACACACACACACACACACACACACACACACACACACACACACACACACACACACACACACACACACGGTCTCTAAACAACTGGAAGTTATTATCACTTATATAGATTGCTAGAGATTCTATAGATCATCTACATAGACAAAATTTTACCCTGGATCTAAAAGATTATTTATCCTGTCCCTGGGCAAAAGTTTTCCACGAGAAGTTTGCCTTTCTCTTGCCTTTTCTCCCCCTCCTAGAACAAATGAAGTGAACAACAAGATCAATAATAACATCATGTAAGAACATACATTCAACAGAATTTATAAGCAGTAATGTTCTCTTACAAGAGGGGCCACTGTGTCCAATCTGTCAAAACTATTAACCCATTACAGTGACGTCATATTTGCTCCGTAACACTAGTCCCGCGGCCATGCTGGAGGGAATGAACGACGGGGAATAGTAGCGGTAATATAGGTGAACAAAATAAAATAAAATAAAATAAACTTCATATCGCGATCAAGTACACGTACACCAAAGGGAAAAGGATATTTACAAGCTGAAGCTTCAACTGATCAGCAGGATCGACCAATATGAACTCAATACAGTCTAAAAACGTGAAATCCTACCAAATGATACTTATCCAACATCGTGTTGTCAGAAGATAGTTCAGTTATCTTGTACTTCATTTTTCTTATTCATTGGGTAATAACAGTTATAGTTTGAGAGAGTTTAATGTGTAATCATAAGTTTAACCTTACACAGAAGCAACTTTTTTCATAAAGGATAGATATAAGGAGAAATTTGAGCTGATCATCAGGATAAACCCTTGTGGACTCAAGGAAGAATGTATGCAGGGTTGTCTTATGACATGAAATATTGCTGTCAGTTATGACTTATCTCTACATCATGAAGCTGTCAGATATTGTTTCAGCATTCTCGTACTTCATATTGGTTCATTAGAAAGTACATGTAACAAGACTGTTGTTTGAGAGAGTTTAATATTCACCATGAATGCAACCATTCATATAAGCAACATTGTTAGCATTTTATTATTAGTTCAGTCATTCACAGAAGCATTTATTAGGCACTGCAAATATCCTCAAACCTCAGTTTAAGTGGGACTTAGAGAATGGGAATTTGCCATGGGACTATACACTTGATATCAATGGAGCAATAGAAACTATGTCAATGATGAAAAAGACTGCCCTTTGTATCAAAATAAAGCTGCATGGTGAGTTGTGTTGTAAATAAGTTTTCAAAATACATCTACAGACATGTCTTGTTCATGCGTAGCAGACGATTCCGGTCTCCTTCCAAGATGGCTGCCGTTTGTTTTGATGACGCAAGCTCTAATGGGTCAATAGATATGTATGGCACTTAATATAGTATGCTTGTATCCTACTCAGAAACATTGTGTATATGTCAAATGTGAAAATAATGCACCATTTAGAGCTAAGTGAATGAGGGTTACCACTACCCAAGAAGTGAGAATATGTGAAATCAGAGCCAGGAGACTTAAAGTTAAGGTAAATGGCCTAGTTCTGGCTGTTCAAATAAGCTACAGGTAAAGGAACGGTTCTGTAACTGTACCTTGAGTAATTTTACCAACTGTAGTCTTGAGCTGTTGCACAAGCTGCTGCATTCGTTCATAATTCTCCTATAAAATGAAACAAAAATATTTATAATGCAGCAATATGAACTTTTTAACCAACTCACTATATTTCTTAAGTTCAAGATATGACGTTACTCCCTGCAAAATTTGTAGACATCTGAAAAAATTTTACCCACTTTGTATTCAGCATTTTCTGTATCTGGGCTGGTACNTGACTGGTATGTAATACAACACAATGGAACTCTTCACTTTCACTCTCATGCTGCTTACGGTCTGAACTGGTATCAGTATTATCTATTGGATGTCATTGCATACAAAGCTGCAGCGAGTTGTTTATATTATTTAACTTGGCTTTTGCCTTTAGTCATTGTTTGGAAAGTATTTAGATTTGTGTTGATTCGTGAAAAACCTTAAAATGTCTGATTGCATTTTTGCACTCTTGAGAAGTGAATTGATTAGACATAAGGCGTTATTTTGATAAATTTATTGAAAAACTCATTATCAGTACACGGGTATTTATACCATTGTTTGCTGACAACTTATTCACAGTATGGCTCAAATTTCATAACTGTTTACTTAAATATAGTAAGTATGGGACTGAAACATTAGCCACGTCTTCCTTGTTATTACATGGTCGCAATATTTTAATTGAACTATTTTAGTAAGTAGATTTTGGTTTAGACGAATTTTCAGGCTTAAGTTATTTTGCGCCACAGACCCAATGCAGTTAGTATTTTTCGCACAGCATGTGTTATTTCTTCCACGAGGTCAAAGTGTCCTTCACCTTTTCTTGCACTCTTTATCATTATGGGACAGTTTATCTGTTAGTTTCCCCAGATAGGAACCCAGAACAAAAATAAATTTGTTGAAGATTACTATGTAAAAATGAAATTTTCTTGAAATTTACAAAGGAAAAGAATCTTTAATTGTAAACTAAATTCTTAACATAGACACTTTCTGAAGATCCCATGCAAATAACTCCCCCCAGAACCGCCCTCGTTGAAATAACACAGGTAATAAAAAATTATGGTAACAAGCTCATATATATGTGAATTTCATCTCACAGTAGCACCAAGGATGTTGCTATACATACACAGTATCACAATAGACTGTGGGACTGTGCTGTGCACATGTGATAGTTCCACTGATTCAGGATATAAAATCCACGGGAACTATTACCAGAGATCACTCCAAGTCTGTCTTCAGTACCTTTTTATTTAATTTTCTTAGAACAAATTGCAAACCCAAGGCAAATGTGCAATTTCTTTTAATTATTATTTTTTTTTTTACAGTGCTTCATGAAGTCAATACTATACAATACTGTTTCTGAAATTGTTCGACATTTGATCAGATGAAGAAAATTTCCCTTTCCTTACAGCTTACAGTAACAATTTACATGCATGATATTCAAACTAAATATTTTAATAACCATCAGCTTAATTACAAAAACATACATTGTAACTGAATGGATATTTACAAGGATATAATTTGACAGGCCTCTCCCATAATGACTAGGTTTATTACTATATGGTTCTGAATTTTCACTTCCATAACTTTGAAACTATTTTCCAACTGACACAGAATCTAAAATGTGATATGTGTTTATCAGTTAACTTTTCTATTTGTAATCCAGAGACGTTTCAGAGGCGTTAAATATTTGAAAAAAAAAAGTTCTTAGTTTCTTGGAAATATAAAATGATCCTTGGCACCAATTTAATAGTACCACCATTTTTCAAATTGATTTGGTGATAATCTCATTTTATAATGACACACTGTAGAGAGACTGGTATCCAATCTTAAATCGAGGTAGACTTTGAAAAATCCAAGTGGAGCTGGCATGGCAAAAACTTGAAACTCTAAACCACAATGTAAATTGTTGCACAAATTTTATCAAAATTGCCAGTCCACTTTCACTACTGCTTCATTTTGGACTGGAAATGGATACATTTTTTGTCATGACTGGTAAAGGCAGTGAATATTCTCATTTTTACAACTATGATTTTAAAATGAGATATCAGTACTATCTATCTAAAAAAAACATTATTTCATGTTCTAAAAGTCCACATTCTGCTTTTGTCACATCAGAAACACTATGTGTAAAACTTGATTTCTCTCTGTGCCCAAATTTCAATAAATACAGGTACAAAATGCTGTCTGTTATTTCTCACCATTTTTCCCTCTCGCTTCAACACTCATTATTCCCCTTTGGAGTATTAAAAACTTGTCAATCTTTCTCATTTTGCTTTCATTATCTGGCAAGATATCAAATGCTGTCTTTTTCTCCCTCCATGCTTCCTGGTGTCAATCATATCATCATGTTTCAGTTCCTTACATTCTAAACACTCCAAATTTAGTTTGGACTTGCTCGGCATTCAGAGCAGCACTTATACTAAGCCCTAGGACGTTTCTGGTGTCCACTGGGTCTATCACACCATCATCCCATAACCTAAAGCAGGATCAAATAATCATGGTTACCATCAAACATTTTTGAAGGAATTTAATAATTATTAAGGTGCAATTTTTGATTGCCAGTCTCTTAAAATATAAAACTTTAAAATTTGGAATTGAAAAAGTTTATAGGTACCAACTGAATTCCAATCCTTTGACCATAAACAATGATACAGCAGTGAAGAGCATTACCTTGCACTGGAGTAATATGGGCTTCCTTCCTTTTCATACTTCTTTAATATTGGTTCTTTTATAGCCTGTTCTTCTTCTGCAGTGAACTGAAGCAACATGATCAGAGATTTATCAAAAAGTCAACACAAACAGAAAAATTGTATTCAAATAAGTCTATTTATGTATGATTATGCTTCTCACATAAACAATTAAGATTGTAAACAATTACATCAGCCTTACATAAAGTGAGAAAAATATATGTATATTCTTTTATGAAAAGCATTCAATGTATGTAAACAACATTTTCACAAGACTTAAACCAAGTTAAGACAAAATATCTCCCAAAAAATATAATCATCCACTGAGTCTGCAAAAGTTTAAGAAATAAATGACGCTCAGAGAACCAAGAAATTATTTATTTACAAACCAAAACAATGTTTTTTTTATATCTCTGGAAAGAAACAAAATGATAATCAGCCCTGTGCTTTTATATATACCTATTCACAAAACACTCTCACACAATTTTTCTTTTTCTATTAAACAAAAATACGTACATAGAGATCTTTTCATGTGATTGAAGTACACAATAAAAATGCACACAGCTTAAGAGCTGATTAGCCTTAAAACCAATACAAACTGAAACCATCAGGCAATCAGATCACTCAGAGGGACCTATCACACATCATTTCAAATACCATCTGGTGACATCAGTTGGACCATATGGGTTTTAAGCTGAAACTGGTCTATGCATGATCCCCAAACTTACCTCTTTTCCTTCTCTTAACCTCTGCTCCCTGGCAATCTGTGACAGGACACCTGCTGCCTGCTCCCCTCCCATCACTGAGATTCTAGCATTGGGCCACATGTACAAAAATCTGGGCCTGGAATATGTATAAAAAAAATAATGTGAAGAAATTGTTTTAAAAAAATGACAAAAAGACAGTTGTTGCAGTATGAAACTTACAGTACTGAAATTAAGAGCAAATCCCATTCATGAGAAACTGTAGTTATTTGCAAAAATGTAACACTTTTTTTTCTCTAGATAAGAAATTTTTTACTTCTAATAACACTACTTGAAAAACAAGTTATTTCATTCTCTATCATTTAACCTACCCATAAGCCCTCCCACACATCCCATAATTCCCTGCACCATAGGAACCTCCTACAATCACAGTGAACTTTGGCACGTTTGCACAGGATACTGCTGTTACCATTTTAGCTCCATTTTTGGCAATGCCTCCTGCCTCTGCCTCTTTACCAATCATAAAACCTGGAATATTTTAATAAAAAATCAGCACAAAATTGAATTCTTGCAACTGTACGAACTCTTTCATAAGACAGCGCATAGCAATTATCTTTCCTTAGATTTTTTAGAACCGCTGACTGTGAATGAAAAAGCATGAACAGCATACCTGTTATTTTAAAAGAAATATTGCCTACATAAGTATGCTCTTTTCATATAAGAATGTTTTTATTAAAAAATAAAAAGTTTTCAAGTAATATCTAAGGCAAAGCTTCAGCAGCAAAATTTCTTTTGATTTTGAAAAATGTCTTTGACTTTGTTATGTAAAAACAAAGAGCAGATAACCTGTAATGTTTTGAAGAAATATCAAAGGTATTCCCCGCTGGCAGCATAACTCTATGAAATGTGTTCCCTAAAACATATTACATACATGGTAAATATTAGTAACTTCACGCCATCCATATCTTTACTTAAATTTCATTTCTATTATTTCTCAGACACTCTACCAAACAGAATTCAGAGTAATTCTTATATTACATTTTATTTTTTTATTTAGTCAAAAAGCTTTCATCATAAATTACCAAAAGCAATATTACACTTTGATAATATTTCAGTTTCATTGAAAAAGGTAGAACATTGAAGTACCTTTAAGGCAGACTCTGAGAAAAGAACCCCATTGTTTCCTAAAATGCCCACAGGATAGCCCCAGAGCCTGGCAAAGCCACAGACTAAAGTATCTCCATACATTTCCTTGAACTCATCAAACCTGCTGCCATCAACAATCCTAGCTATTACCTGGAGGAACAAAACAATTGAGAATTTTCTTCACTACTGTTTATTAGAATATTTGTATACCTATATTTTTCATGCTTTTGCAAATCATATATATATATATATATATATATATATATATATATATATATATAAAGTACAAGAGATATGTTGGATTAGAATGACACAACATGAAATCATGAAATTCTCTGAAAGAACATATCGGCATGTGACTGTATCTTAGAAATCATGTTAAATGATGACCTATATAAATTTCAGATTAATACCAATTGATCAGTAATGTTAATATTCCGTTCAATTAATATCATCTTAGGCATTCTCTTACATTCTCAGTTGGCAGACACACACCACTTACTTCTCTAATATCATATGTTTTCTTTAGATTATCTCCAACAATGCCATAAATCTCATTTGCGGAGTGAACAGGAGCTTCTGGTTCCTCCATAGTTACCTGAGAGAGAGTGGTAAGAGTCATCAAATAACCACTGGAAATGACACTGCCATACTCTCATGCTTCAAGAGTCAAGTTAAAGATATAATGAAAAATATTCCTGTGGCACTATGTTGTAATTCCAACTTTAAATGAGTTCAGGAAATTCTTTAATTATTTAGTTCTGTGCTTAGACTCCACCCCCTGATTACCAGCATTTTAAAGTTATAACAACAATGACAAAAGCAGTACATGTTAAATACTGTTTACTCACGTATTGGAAGTAAAAGAAAATACTATACCTGAGGCCTTTTTGTATAATTCAGGTTTTTAATCACTCTCCTGGCTCTGTGAAGAGCATGCAGGTCATCTACTGCATAGTGGTCTGTGACACCAGACTTCCTACAATATAGCAGAGTTCATATTTTAGCATATAAGTTTATTTATCCAACATTTTAATATGTAATTAAATTGACAAAGTGACAAACAGTTCCCTCTTAAAATAAAATTTAAGTGAGGCTAGGAAATAGATAACTTTTGCTTTAAAATATCTTTTTGCTTCAAAAATTTCATCAAGTCTTCATTTATCTAGCAAAAAATATAAGAATATTTCATATACACAAGCATTATTATTATTCAGTAAGAATTGTGTAACATTTTTTTTACATAATAATATTAACCCGACCTAATATAATCACAGATGTTTTGCAGACACATTCCTGTCATAACACCTGCAATAACTTAGCTTACCTGCAGTGAAGATCTGCCCCACCCAGATCTTCTGCAGACACTTGTTCCCCTGTTGCTGCTCTGACCTAATGAAACAACATTACACATAAGAACTGGAAAATGGCCCAAAAGCACAGACCCAGGCCAAGGAAATTGACAATACAAAGTATCAGGGGACCCTCATCTACACTATGAACAAGGCAGCAAAGCTGTCAAATGTACAGACAAAAAGCAGACAATAACAATGCACAAAATAGGCTACTGTCAATTCTGATGCAAAAGTACATTATGATTAACTGCAAATTCAACATCAAATTTGAATTATGCTCAACAGGTAATACCAATGTAAGTAAAATGTGTAACAAGCATAAGGCTTCAGGCCCATGGGAGTTCAAGTTCACTCTTTGAAAATGCCAGAATGAGAAAAATGAAAATTTCACAGAAAACTGCATAAATTCAATAATAAATGACCTAATGAAACAACATTACATATCAGAACTGGAAAATGGCCCGAAAGCACAGACCCAGGCCAAGGAAATGGACAATACAAAGTATTAGGAACCCAGATTCTTTCCTTGCTGTCTGTCCTGACAGTTTGTTCAAATCTTGAGAAGATCTTTTTGAGATAGCTCGTCTATTAACGAGTAGACAATGCCATTGAAAATACAACCCCCTTCATAATGAAAAATCACAAACTGATTCCAAAATTAAGGATAATTCCAAATGTGACCCTCGTGTAAATTGTAACTGCTTAGTACCTTTAGCTCTACTTTGATTGTAGAATCATATACAATATCAATAATACTGTACAATGAAACCATTTACAATAAGTCTAATATAACACTAAATTTGTAATTATGGTCCAATATATCAACATAAGATAGAATCTTTCTATTATAAGTAGCAATTCCTGATATACCCCCCCCAAAATATATTTTTCCTTCACCTCTGAACTCACATCTACACTATGGATCAGATTATAAACAGAGTACTTACTAGAGGTGGTCCTCCAAGAAATATAGTTCCTTGTTTACCAACAATAATACTTTCATCTGCCATTGCTGGCACATATGCACCGCCTGCAGTGCAGCTCCCCATCACCACGGCAACCTTAACAAAATAAAGGGAAAATCTTTAAAAAATAAAATTGTGCAGCCATTGTTAAGTCTCACAGAAAAACTGGAATGAGTTAGGTGTGACAAGTTTTGACATCCCTCACCTGAGACATAAACTTAGATACACTGGTTAATTGTAATGTAGTATGAAGTAGTATGATGTGTTAGTTGTGACAGTGCATCAAAGTGTGTTAGATGAGACACACACTACCTTACCTGAGCTATCCCCTGGGCAGACATATTAGCCTGGTTGTAAAATATTCTACCAAAGTGGTGTCTATCTGGAAAGACTTCATCCTGGCGAGGAAGGTTGGCACCCCCAGAGTCAACTGAATACCAAATACACCATGCAGCCACATTACCAAAAACATTTACTTGATATAACATTTACAATGATGTGGCAAAACACAGAGTGCATTCAAAAAGTAAACAACAAGAAGCTTAACCAATAGCCAACATAAAACTTTAACAAACTCTGGAGGTGGTTTTATTTCAAAAGTTGGTTTTAAGCTGCAGACCAACAATCTCAAGACAGCACAAACTTTTGTGCAGAAACTGAATGCACTGCTGGGAAAAATATATTTACTTTACTCACCTAAATAAATACATGGTAAGTGGTTTTGTTGAGCAATCTCTTGAGCCCTTATGTGTTTCTTCACAGTAATGGGATAGTAAGAACCGCCTTTTACCGTTGGATCATTGGCCACTATCATACATTCCACTCTGAAGATGTCAAAAAATATATATAATAATAATAAAATTGAAATTAATTGAGATTGTAAAACTGATAATAAATTAAACAGAAATGCATTAAATTCTATAACACAGAGCGACAGCCTTGAATTGTTCCCAATGAATGCAACAATTCTGAAGCAGTTAAAATATTTAGAAACTTAAAGAAAAATCAGTTGTGCACCAATAACATGATATGGCATTTACCCGGATACTCTGCCAATGCCTGTGATAATTCCCCCAGCAGGCACCTCTTCTTTACCATACAGGTTGTAACCAGCCAACTGAGACAGTTCAAGAAATGGAGACCTAGGGAAGAATTTGGATAAGAAAGTGGAATGCAATGAACTGTGTGTACTAAAATGAATTTTGAATATATTTGAATTATGAGACTGTATTGCTAATTACTAACACTCAACATCACCAAATCATTTGATGTACAAGTTGCTGTATCTCTCTCTCTCTCTCTCACACACACACACACACACACACACACACACACACACACGGTCTCTAAACAACTGGAAGTTATTATCACTTATATAGATTGCTAGAGATTCTATAGATCATCTACATAGACAAAATTTTACCCTGGATCTAAAAGATTATTTATCCTGTCCCTGGGCAAAAGTTTTCCACGAGAAGTTTGCCTTTCTCTTGCCTTTTCTCCCCCTCCTAGAACAAATGAAGTGAACAACAAGATCAATAATAACATCATGTAAGAACATACATTCAACAGAATTTATAAGCAGTAATGTTCTCTTACAAGAGGGGCCACTGTGTCCAATCTGTCAAAACTATTAACCCATTACAGTGACGTCATATTTGCTCCGTAACACTAGTCCCGCGGTAATGCTGGAGGGAATGAACGACGGGGAATAGTAGCGGTAATATAGGTGAACAAAATAAAATAAAATAAAATTAACTTCATATCGCGATCAAGTACACCAAAGGGAAAAGGATATTTACAAGCTGAAGCTTCAACTGATCAGCAGGATCGACCAATATGAACTCAATACAGTCTAAAAACATGAAATCCTACCAAATGATACTTATCCAACATCGTGTTGTCAGAAGATAGTTCAGTTATCTTGTACTTCATTTTTCTTATTCATTGGGTAATAACAGTTATAGTTTGAGAGAGTTTAATGTGTAATCATAAGTTTAACCTTACACAGAAGCAACTTTTTTCATAAAGGATAGATATAAGGAGAAATTTGAGCTGATCATCAGGATAAACCCTTGTGGACTCAAGGAAGAATGTATGCCAGATTGTCTTATGACATGAAATATTGCTGTCAGTTATGACTTATCTCTACATCGTGAAGCTGTCAGATATTGTTTCAGCATTCTCGTACTTCATATTGGTTCATTAGAAAGTACATGTAACAAGACTGTTGTTTGAGAGAGTTTAATATTCACCATGAATGCAACCATTCATATAAGCAACATTATTAGCATTTTATTATTAGTTCAGTCATTCACAGAAGCATTTATTAGGCACTGCAAATATCCTCAAACCTCAGTTTAAGTGGGACTTAGAGAATGGGAATTTGCCATGGGACTATACACTTGATATCAATGGAGCAATAGAAACTATGTCAATGATGAAAAAGACTGCCCTTTGTATCAAAATAAAGCTGCATGGTGAGTTGTGTTGTAAATAAGTTTTCAAAATACATCTACAGACATGGCTTGTTCATGCGTAGCAGACGATTCTGGTCTCCTTCCAGTATAGCTGCCGTTTGTTTTGATGACGCAAGCTCTAATGGGTCAATAGATATGTATGGCACTTAATATATTATGCTTGTATCCTACTCAGAAACATTGTGTATATGTCAAATGTGAAAATAATGCACCATTTAGAGCTAAGTGAATGAGGGTTACCACTACCCAAGAAGTGAGAATATGTGAAATCAGAGCCAGGAGACTTAAAGTTAAGGTAAATGGCCTAGTTCTGGCTGTTCAAATAAGCTACAGGTAAAGGAACGGTTCTGTAACTGTACCTTGAGTAATTTTACCAACTGTAGTCTTGAGCTGTTGCACAAGCTGCTGCATTCGTTCATAATTCTCCTATAAAATGAAACAAAAATATTTATAATGCAGCAATATGAACTTTTTAACCAACTCACTATATTGCTTAAGTTCAAGATATGACGTTACTCCCTGCAAAATTTGTAGACATCTGAAAAAATTTTACCCACTTTGTATTCAGCATTTTCTGTATCTGGGCTGGTGCCAATTGGTGCAACCTTGTCAAGATGGTAGCATCGTCTAGAGAGATGGATACCTTCTTTAAAAAGCAGCACCCTCAGGTTTCTCACAAAATTCATCTCGCTCCACAACAGGAAGTGGCATGTGGAGCAACAGATGCGCATGCGCATTAATGTAGTCAGAATTCATACTGTAGCTTCGTACCTACAATAAATTGTGATACATACTTTTTATATTCTACAAAATATACAATATATTTTACCAATCCAACTACATTTAACGTATTGATCGTTTTATACATGTATATTTATCAGATATCTATGAAAGGATCATTTTTGAATTAGAAAGTGGAAGCTAAACTACAAATAAAATTTCAAGTCTGATAGACGAGCCCCCGAGTACACGTGAAGTTATTTTGGTTCTGTTTGTTTAGGATCTACTTCGTACAAGATCAGCATGTCTTTTGTGCCAGTAAGCCCTGAGAGTCATTTCCCATTACAAAACCTTCCTTATGGGATATTTTCTACATCTGATAACGTAAGTTTTTTTCCGTATCCATGCACTAATTTGATTAAAATGACGCTGATTTTTGCCGGTTGAATTTTTTATTATTGATACAGTTTATATTTCTTTAATTTCTACTGGTGTATTTAGAATTTGAACCCATTTCTTAATGTGTGTGTTTCAGTCTCCAGTTTCCATGACTCTTTAACAGTTAATTCGCCGTTTCCACAAAATTAAAAGCCTGTGCATATTTATTTATTTATTTATTTATTTATTTATTTATTATTATTTTTTTTGCCAAACTTAATTTCACATTGGTTTTATATCTTTATCTATCAATGATATTTTTTTCTTGAAATGGGGGAGGAGGGGGGGGGGCATTGATCATAGTTAGTGATCATTGTAGCCCTGAAATGGAAGTGACTTGGTTTATTGTGTGCATTTAAAATATATGCATTTTTATTGTCTCCACATGATGCACACATTTTTAATGTATAACCAACTTTTTTACTTCAGCCCCGTCCTAGGATTGGTGTTGCAATAGGAGACCTTATACTGGACCTGACACAAGTTAAACACTATTTCACAGGCCCTGCATTAAAGCAGTACCAACATGTATTTGATGAGGTAAAGAAAATTATTCAGATATGTTGTTTTATGTATATTGTTTTCAATAATTATTTTTTATGTATACATATTATTTTTTTAATGGTGAGGACTCACTCATATTTTAAACAAGGAGTTTCCAGAAATCTTTGCATGATATATATGCCACACTAATATGAAATGTTTATAAATGATTTTACAGACCATCTATTTTCAGTTGTACTGGAAATATTAACAGTGTGGTTTTAAAGACATTTTTGTATATTCTGGTAGTTTTTAATGTTTGTATTTATAATATAGCACATCAGTTTAATTTAATATTTTTTATCACAAATATGCTGCTCTTGTACATTACTCCAGGAATAAATTCAGATCTACCAAGTACAAAATATATATTTGTTTTGGAAAAATAAATTCCATTTATGCCAGAGGTTTTTTATAATCAGGCTCCTGCTTTGAAAACCTACATCTACCCTTATGTAGTTTTACCACTTGTATTAGACAATACATGTATGGTGATGACTAGATCTTTTCAATGAGGAAAGTTGTCAACTTTACAAATAAAAAATTTTAAGTCAGAAATTCTTAAAACTGGAACATTCTTACTGAGTGATAGAAACATAACTGAAAAGCCGGCTTCCTCATTCATGTAGTTCTTTTCTATATTAAAATCACCACAAATGCTTCACAGAAATATTTTTTATTTCCAAAATCATGTTCTGAAAGATTGATAATTTTTCCTCATTGAAAAGGTTGAGTTACTACCAGAATACTACTATTATGCTTGTATTATAGCCTTATATATATAATATATTATATATATATATGTTTAACCACTTGTATTAGACAATAAATGTAATACTGTGTTTGTCTTCTAGCCAACACTGAACAGTTTCATGTCCCTGGGCAGGCCTGCCTGGAGAGAGGCCAGGGAGACACTGCAGAAGCTTCTGTCTGCTGGGGAACCCACACTCAGGGATGATGCAGAGCTTAGAGCCAGGTATAAGACTGTAACAGTACATGTATTAGGATGGACTAGACGATGAATAGAATTCATTTTAACTGAAAAGATACATAATTTTAGCCAAATTGGAGCTCAGAGAAAACTACAATGTTGTTAAAGGATGGTCCATTGTTGTTGTTGTGAAGAAACTATTACTTTGGCTGAGTATATTGTAACACAGCTGATGGATTTTTTTCTTGATTTTGCTACAGGTGTTTTGTACCACAGAGCAGTGCTACTATGCATTTACCTGCTAAAATAGGTAAGTTTTGTTCAACATATTTTGTATATGTTTTCTTCCACAGGTGTCATTTACTACTAGTTCAAACTACTATCTGTGCTGAGTGGGTTGTGCATTAATCTTGTTGTGCAGTAAGCCAACCTTTAACAATGTTGAAAAGGTTCATAATATTTTTTTTTTCATTTTCAGGAGATTATACAGATTTTTATTCATCAAAAGACCATGCAACAAATGTAGGAACAATGTTCAGAGGAAAAGAAAATGCCCTCATGCCTAATTGGTAAAATAAAAATTCGAATTAAAATATTTCACTTACTTGACCATTAAGTTATCACTGATAAACTGAGAGCATGTAAATGTTGTGATTTTGTCATGAAGCTTCAAAAATAGAATGGCAAGTAATATTGATATTAACATAATTGCCATTACATAATTAGCTAAAACTACAAAATATTCTACAGCTGGATGATTATGTAATTGCATTGTAGCTGTAGAATGTTTTGTAGTTTTGTCATTATTTTTATTTTTTACACCCCCTTTCCCCCATTTACACAGCATTTGTTGTTGTTCATTTAAAAATGATAAAAAATATTCTCTTGATTTCCTAGGACCTGGCTTCCTGTTGGCTATCACGGTAGAGCCTCCTCAGTGGTCGTGTCAGGGACACCCATAAGACGACCTAATGGCCAGCAAAGACCTGATGAAAGTAAGTGACCATCTGAATAGTCATTAATACGTTTGGGGTGTTTTGAAAATTGCCAAATTAAAACATAATTAGGTGTTTTGTTATTTAGTGTATATTCCCATTGGTTTTAGGAGTTTTAGGTATTTTTGTGTTTTAATGTTAGCAACCAGTTTTATTCGATCTTCATAGGAAAAAAGTTATAGTTTAGTGTAATACTGTAAAGTTTATTTAAGAAATATCAATGACAGTGGTTTATAACCAAGTCTTTTCTGTTTAAGCCAAGCCACCAGTGTTTGGTCCCTGCAAATTGATGGACATAGAGCTAGAAATGGCTTTCTTCACAGGCCCTGCTACTCAGTTGGGTGAACCCATACCTATCTCCAGAGCAGAAGACCACATCTTTGGAATGGTGCTCATGAATGACTGGAGTGGTACTGTTCTTTATTTATCTCTGACAACAAAAATTGAAAAGCTGGACTAAATCTTTTTGTATGAGAGAAATGGTTCATTTCTGCAACCCTTCCTTGAGTTTTGAATGTTTTTCACAATATGAATGTTATGCAATTTATTGGGTCAGAGCATTTTATATGCTTAAAGGCACTATCTAGAAAAATGTTGCTGATTGAATTCTGTTGAGTTTTATGGAATAGGTTTTGAATTTGGGACCTTTTTTATTTCCCCAATATGATATGATGGTTATTTCAAAAATGAAACATAATTAGTCTGTTTTGACTTTCATGACAACATAGCATTGAAAAGTTTAATTTGCCACGAGATTAACTTATGTTTAATATTTACTTGCAGCCCGTGATATTCAAAAGTGGGAGTACGTCCCATTAGGACCTTTCCTTGGCAAGAATTTGGGTACATCTATCTCCCCCTGGGTGGTAACTATGGATGCACTAGCTCCCTTCAAGTGCCCAAACGCTATACAGGTACCAGCACTGAGAAATGTGCCTTGAAATTTGGCTGAAACAATAAAGTGAACTTTGTAGCATGAAAAATGAATTTACAAACATTGACCCACAATTAATATACACTGTTGATAAACAAAATGTAAATGGGCCATTACAAAGTATTAATACAGATAAATGATTCCCTGAGCAATCTAGACTAAGCATTAATTACGCATCATGACTAACAAAAATATTCTGCACTATCATAATTTTCTGCTTGGTGACTGTACATTTGACAGCTTTGCTGCCTTGTTTATTGCAGGATCCTGAACCCCTTCCATACCTAAAGCATAATGATCCCTATACCTTTGATATTCAGCTGGAAGTAGCTCTTAAGGGTTGGTAGCAGCAGTGTTCATCTTTGGAAATAAAGAGTATTCAGATAATTGCTAATAATTGTTTTAAGACAACATGTTTTCTTTAAAGATAATAATGGTGAAAATTATTATGATATTCACAGTGACAGGAATACACATAAATGCCTAACACCTTACTACAGCTAAGTGGTCTTTGCTATTAAGATGCCAGTAATAAATCTTTCATTTTACAGAGAGAGAGAGATTTATGAACTTTTCAGTTTGTATTTTCCTTTTGCAGGTGAATCCATGTCTCAGCCAGCCTTGATTTGTAGGTCTAACTTCAAGGTATGAACATTAAACTTAAGGCAAATAGATGATAGCCAGTAGTCATAAAAATGTGGTTTTGTTTACAAACATGAATTTAAATTGTTTTGTGTTAGCTGCAACCCTGTTGCTCAACTTGAATCTTCGTCTAACATGAACAATTTTTATTGTACAGTCCCAAATGTGCTGAGTTATGTGGCCTATTCTGTATTAAAAAGCTATTGATTTCAAGTTGCTGCTCATTACTTTGTTCTAGCATATGTATTGGACTATGAAGCAACAGCTGGCCCATCACACTGTCACAGGGTGTAATATCAACCCAGGAGATCTCATGGCATCAGGAACCATCAGTGGACCAGTAAGTGGCTTATTTTGTAGTGTGCTGACACCTACAGTTATATGTAGTATGCTGTAGGGTGACTAGCTAATTCATCATCCTGTTTTCCTAGGAGCATAATTAACAGTAAAAGTATGTTTTGTTGCTTTCTAAATCCTGTTTATAGGTGCTTAGTTTAAATCGCCTGTATGAAATCATTTGTTACACTGGAAGTTTACTAGGAATGAGATTTTATCTTGCATAACCTGCACACACTTTTTAAAGTTAAAAGAATCATTCATATTAAAAATGAAAAGGCACACTTTAATTATGATACCTGGGGGTAACTTGATGAATGTTGCATTCTCAGGAGATTATTAGACACTAACTTCAGATAGTATATGGCTATCATATAATTTAATTTTGTCTTTTTAGTTACAAAAATTATTAAAAAGATGATGTTTTGTCCTCAACATGAGAACTTCTACGGAACACTGATAGCACACATACTAGATATTACATGAATAATGCCATCTCTCACTTCATCTAGTATGTAACAGCCAGCAAAAGTTCATGAGAAGAGGATCCATATTTGTCCTCTTTGTAATTTTTGTAAACACAGTTAAAGACTGTTAAAAATACATGTTGTTGATATTGATGCAATGGATTTACTTCCCAGACTCCGGATACATTTGGATCCATGTTGGAATTGTGTTGGAAGGGAACCAAGCCTATGGATCTGGGGAACGGAGAAACCAGGAAATTCCTGCAAGATGGAGATGAGGTCATCATCACTGGTGAGTTGTTTTATTGTTTATTTAATGCAGAGGTCTCTTTCACATACACACACAAAAAATCTTTGGACTTAGTTAACATAAGTAAACAACTTAAATTGGATACCTGACAACATAAAGTGGACTTGGCAATGTTTCTCTGGTGATAAGCTCACAATAAATATAGCTGATATACCAAAATTTGTGAAAAGAGAGTAAAATTCATTGAGAAGACGATCACAATATCCTATAGAAGCTTAGTCTAAAGACAGAAAAATAGAGGCAGCTTCATTACTGCAGAACTGAACTTTAAAAAAAAGCCCTTAAGCTTTTACTACATGAACAACAAGTTTCTCAACTGATGTTTTGTAAAGTGGGCGCTAGAACTGTGAACTTGCCAGTTAAAAAGCATAACTGTACAGCATATGAAAATGGCTTTTGCTCAGAGTGCTTTATTGACAGTCTGAGTAACGATAATGGCTAGTACTTCAAACCACAGCGAATATTGGCATATACTCTCCAATATTTCAGTGTCTGACAAAACACCTTTGGTGAGTGAGGTTACGGGTGTTAATGTATATACATATATTTCAACATTTTTATTCAAACTTTAAATGATATAATATGTTTTTCATGTGAAAGACTTAATGTTTTTTATATAAAAAATTGTTTGTATTTATTTCAGGCTATTGTGAAGGTAATGGTTGCAGAATAGGGTTTGGGACATGTGCTGGAAAAATATTACCTGCATTGAAGATTTGAAGTTATTGTCTCATATATAAAAAGGACCTAATATCATATGTCCAAAGAAAAATTGCTTTATTTATGAATATAGATATAACTGAATATGTAGAATTGATTATATTTCAATATACATTTCCATGTGAATGCACAAAATACTTCATTGGCAGCTGAAAATATAAAGTGAATGTTTGGGCTGATTTTTATCTTCAAGTCTGTCAAAATGTCCAGTTTTAAAAAGTTAGAGGTGATAGGAACAGACAACAAAGGATTTTACTCAGCATATATTTTTGTTGCACCTTTTTGTATTTTATAGCAATGGTAAACAATATATCACAGCACAAAGCTTGAGAATGAGCGCTTCCATGATCTCTCAACAACCAGGGTTGTTACTCTGATTTGAATGAATATTTACTGTAATTGAATGTTCATGTTTTTGAAATGAGTGTTTCTTTTAATTAGTTTAGATAGAGGAATGCTATAGATTAAGATGATTTTTCTGTGAAGAGTCACACATGTTTTTTGCTAGATTTATTTTCAGTCAGCAATTAAGTATTGCCAATATATCATATAATCCTTGACAGGTATTCTGTCATAAAAATAAATTAGGTAACAGGTTTTAGCTAATTTTTTTAATGCACAAAGTTTGTTTTGCTACATTTGTGTGGGATAAATCACATTTTGAGTAGCTTTTACATAAATACTTTTCAGTGGAGACAAATATTTAGCATATTTACATTTTATTTATTTATTTATTTTTTTTTTATTATTATTATTTTTTTTGGGGGGGGGGGGGTCAGCGTATTTGAAGCAATAAGGACCTGACTTTCTCAATGATATCAATGTTTCATGTGCAACAACTTCTGAGTATTTCCAAATAATTTCAAAGTTATTTTGTGTTTTTGTGGGAAAAAAATTTTTGGAGGGAGGGGGGGAGGCATTAAATCATTCCTTCAGAAAAGTATTAAGTCATTCCCACAAAATAACGTTTTTTTTTAAGTTTGAAAAAATCATTCCTTTCTACACTTATGTGTCTAATGTATATTGAATGCTAACATGTGATGCATTTATAGATTCTACAGGATTCTTTTGCTTAAAGAATGCCAGAAGTTTCATTATAGGTTCTATGGCTCCTGTGAGCATGCGATGTTCCAGTACTCAAATAATTCTGCACAATATTTCAAATTTCCAAGAATTTCAAATTTTCAAGAAGTATATTTAAAATTAAGTTTAGCGAGCTGCTTTTTAAATACAGATAAAACTAATATTTTGTCAATTTGTGAATAATAATGTGTATTACTATTATATTTATGAAAACGTTTTGCTATAAATGTATGAGGAAACAGTTGCTTGGAATCCAATTGCTGTGCCAATGAATCAAACCTAATGTTAGCATGGAAATCAGGAGTTAATAGAATCTCAGTTCATATATTCATTTGTTATTATGGGCAGTTTATTAGCGATATTGGTTATACATGTAAGGAGCTAAGGTGATGTGTTTATATACAAGGTTAAGGCATTGGAAAATGGCATAATTTTATTGTAACAATATTTGAAGACTATGTACATCTTAAAAAGGGGGGATTTCAATTAAACGTTGAAGTTATACCTATATTCTATGACTTTTGATTATTTCGTTGAATAAAAAGATTTATCGGTACGCGCCTGTGGGTTCGTATATGTTTCCATAAAGTAGCGTTATAATTGTATATACTCTTATGTTGGGTCCACTGTATAAAAGAAAGTAAGATCATCATACCCGCCAAAATATATATATATATATATATATATATATATATATATATATACAAAGTAAAATGGGCCTTGAAAGCGCTCGCCATACTTTCCCCTTAGTGTCCCATTGCGTCTTCAAATTTATTTAATTTTTCTTGACCATTTTTATTGGTCAAAATGATCCATAATTATTTTGGAACTTTTGCATTGGATGTCTAATTACAAAAAATGGACACAGCCTTCATTATAGATACTTTAATCAATTTAACCGTCAGTTACAGAAGTTCATCAAATGTCCAGATTGTATTTAATAGGCACTGGTACATGTTGTTGTTTCGGAGTGATGCCAGTTTTTTACATGTTAAAGGGAATGAGGGCGATGAGTCCACCCCCTTATTTAACGATCACAAGCATACGTACACACACACACACACACACACACACACACACACAGACACACATCGCTGCCTACACAGTTCTACCAAAAAGTCGTGTAACAATGCAATAAGACTTTTTGTCGATATGTAATATGAAAAGCGGAAAAATAAAATGATCAAATCTTTGGAGGGTACGACTTAAAACAGGTGAAATACACAGAAATCATCACAATAGGGGGGAAGTGCTTGTTTGCTATAATAAAATGCGACTCGGGTACTTAATGTGAACTGAAGCGGTAGTCAGATAAAGTGTGCCTTTTTTTGTAAAAGCCATGTTTTGTTTGTGGTGAAAAGACGCAAACATACACAAGCTACCCGCACTTGGTCGTCAAATTTCACTGCTGGTCCATTGAGAGATGCTTAAGCGTTTTAGGATAATGTTTGCTGTTCAGTATCCTCTAGTACATGTTTAGAGGTCGCCTTGAAGGAAGTTCGACACTGCAACTCGTATCTTATTAAAAAGCGGGCCTGTTCGTTGTCCTGCGGCACAGTTTAACAGGGGCGTTTACAAACACAGACACGGGATTTGGTTTGACAACATATCATTACACGTCGTCTACAAGCAATGACATTGAAAGGACATTGGTCACTCCGATAATACACTGTACCTGCCTTTACGTGAACATTTTATCCAGGTTCCATCGTGTCACTTAACCACCCGATATTATATTTTGCAGGCCGTCTGTCTAAGCCTCCGCCGTTTAAAGACCGAGGAATCACGCATGCTGCTATCATAGCGAGAAGGAGGGTCTTGGAATATACTTTCCTTGGTCTGACAGACGTACGGGAGAGAGACGCGGTTGGAATTGCTACATTTCACTTCATTGACCTGCACCTCATACCAAACAGAGCAACAGGTGTATATGCATTTATATGAATATGTTTGTGACAATTACGAGGCGTACAGAACGGACAAAGGCATAAAAGAACACACGTAATTCGGGTTATATGTATATTTTCAAAAAAAGGATAAACCTGTGATCGAATTTCACTTTCTGGGTTTGCAGATACCGGTACCTATCTACATGGACACCTGAGGGCCATTCCTCAACGACATATCGCACTGTCATTGTATCAAGTTGACGAGGCAGTATCAAAAACCAGCTTAATTTGATAGTCAAGGAGAAGTCCTCTTTTGTCATAAGGATATGGACTGGTGCAGAAACTAAAGGGGAGTTTACATTGCGGTATTCAGTCCGCGTAGAGGAGAAGCCACACCTATAGATAATATCGTTAAGACCTTCCTTATTTTTGCTATGTAGTGCGAGCCTCTTTGAAAGGTGTTTGCGAAACTGTGAACTAAAAAAGCAAATGAGGTGGAATTTTATCAAGATTATAGCAAAATTGGATTAGTCAATTAAGCAAGTAATATAACGCGCCATTTCTAAAATTGTTTTAAAAACAAACAAACAAAATAGAGAAACAGAACGGGCATGGTATTTTCTGAAGCGTGACTGTGGACCTCTTATTTCTAGAGGATACAGTTATGGTAAAGCCGATGGTATACCGACATACTTTGTTGAAGACGACCGAGCAACTTTTTTTTTTTTTTTTTTTTTTTTTTTTTTTGGTTTTTTTTTTTTTTTCAAAGGGGAAAGGCAGCCTTGTTGAACTTGAAGGTTGTTTTGTGATGTGTTTGACAAACACATGGAGTTAGGAGTTCATTAAAGAAGAAAAAATACATGAAAAAGGAGAACAGCCGATCAAATACTACGTATTGCAATTAAAAACAACAAAATCCTGGATAAATATATACTATTATCATGGCGTTACTACACCAGTGTCATGCCAACGTGATCGGGTTTTGGGCGATATTTCAGTTAGTGGTGGCTTTAGGTGTGGTAGCCGATGGCTATTTTATGAAGCAATACTACGAAGGTATCAGCTGGCTGTACGTCCCCTACTGGTCAGTGGCGTTGGTGAGTTCAATCAGTGGCCTCTGTCCAGGGACCAATATAACACGCAAAAAACTGAAGTCAAAATTGGTATTTGATTAAAGTTTGAAAATATTTAATATTAAAGCTAAGGCTAAAAGTAATAAAACGTCAAATTTCGATTGTTGTTGTTGTTGTTGTTGTTGTTGTGCTCTTCTGCATTAGATTGCATTAGAGATGAGACAGTTTTCTTTTCTTTCATTCCAGATTGTATTTCCCTTTGGCATTGGGATATTAGCTTGTGTTACAGGGAAGAGACTTGCGGTGGGTATAAAACAAAATAAAATAAACTAAGATAAATAAAATGAAATTAAACATGCACACGCATCTTCTCAAAACATACATACGTACAAAATAATGCTGTCATCAGAAATAATGTAGCTATTTCTATTTAATACTCACGAATTTAAGATCTTTTCTTTTCTTTTTCTTCCAGGCATATGTCTTCTCGGTATTTAACTTACTGTGTTTTCTGGCCAACGTTGCGTACTTGGTTTTGCTATGGGTCCAACTTGGGCGCTTTCAAACCATGGAACGCCAGTTTAATGATTGCCTCCAAACAGCACGGGCAAGGCGAGAATGTATTTGCAGGTTGGCACACATTTGGTTTTACATGTATATTCTATTTCTTTACATCTTGCTGATTTATTTATTTGTTTGTTTGTTTGTTTATTTGTCATTCAAATTGAAAAATCTTTGTTGAAAGATTTTATTTTATTCGTTTAGTTTACACTAATTCAGTTTTGTTTTTAAGTCAATCTTGTCAGATATGTTATAGCAAAAGTGATATTAAGTTAAGAAATGTAATCAGTTGAAGACATCGAATAACTCACAATTACATTACTCTATTGTGATGTAAATATGAATCATTCACATGTCCTTCAGTGAATCATGGATATGTAATCTTTATTTTTACATTACACTTTTTATTTATCTATTTGTCTGCCCGTGAACCGTTCTACCTGCTTGTTTTTAAGCAGTCACCTGTTTATTTATATATTTATTCATCTGTCGCATATGTCAATGATTTGTGTCCAGAAATTTATATGTTTTTAAGCAGTCACCTGTTTATTCATCTATTTATTCATCTGTCGCATATGTCAATGATTTGTGTCCAGAAATAGCGGACAACCTGACCTGTCCAGTGAGACCGGCTGCTCGGACGTCGACCTATTTCTGCTAACAGTCTACGTTGCTTTTGGGTTAGAGTTATTCTACGTTGCAGTGACGTTTACGGGGACCATGCTGAGTGCGGCGTTTGGCACGAAAAACTGTTGCTATCGGGTGAGAGACGTGTTGTACATGAAGAGGGGAATGTGGTGAGAGTTGGTGGGTAGAGGCTGGGTGATTGGACGCAGCTGAAATAGTCGCCCTGCATGACGATTGAATCCGGGCGATTCTTTATCTAGTAGTTTCATAACTGCCCAAAAATGAAAATGCTTAACTCGTGTTTTCATCCTGGCTCGGTTATTTGTATGTCATAGGTCCAGATATTCTTTTATTAAGATATTTTAAAAAACTCTGAATATGTAAATCACTTATAAGACCCGCTATACGTCAATCTACGTAAATCTGAAGCATTTAAATGACTCTTTAAAAAGGGTTACATTTATTAAGCTCCATAAAACGAACCAACTGAATATTTAGTACCGTGTCCTTTATTTTCAGGAAACTTGCTGCTTTTGCTTGAGTAGAAAAGTTGCGTATGACCTGGAAAACAATCGAGCAGACCTTTCCAGTCTCGAGTCTATCACGGACATTTCCGTCGTCGAGATGGGTCCTGACGCCTCGCACGAGATGGCAGAGAAAAAGGGGCCACGTGCACGTGAAAACACACTAGAGACTTTGTTCTATTGAGTTCGTCGACATCGCTCTGGTGAACCATCAGTTGAAGCTGCAGCGGTAAAAATCACTGAGGAGGCTGCATCGTCGTCACAGTTGCAGACTTCATTCACTCACAGACATTTTAGGCCTAGAAATAGATACAAAAATGTGTATATTAAGTCGAGAGTATCAGTAGAAGCTCCTCTGGTAACAGTTCTGTTGCCTAATCTTATGGAGATGAAACTTTGACCACAAATGTCTACTTCGGATATTGGGAGGGGGGTCTGTGGAGGTTAAATGGTTAATAAACTTATAATTCGTCTGGTTTTAATGATTGACTTCTTATGAAATGCACATCTAATATATAAATGAAAAAAAAAGGCGTTCAACACATAAAAGTATTACTTAATGCTTGGTATGATTCTCACCAGGTCACTGAATTATGCACGCGAGTCCAGGCCTATTATAAAGCACATATACTTCAACATTTCACCTTACGAATATTTTCTGCCCCCCCCCCCTACCCCCAGTACGCCACGCCATCATGTCCATTCCACGAATTTCATGTCGACGCGCCTCGCCGAAAAACATCATACGTGATTTCAAATAATTTTGCGTTGGTTCCATGCAGGAGGTATACTTCATTGATTGGTTTTGAAATGCAAGATCGTGATCAGAATCTACAAAGCAACGTATACAATTAAACAACTTCACTCATAAAAAAGCAAGTCGTAGGTTATGTAGGCCTACACATGTCACGAATATTCGCGTAATAAGGCTTACTCGTAATACTGAAAATACTGAATCGTGTAAGCGATGATATAGGATATGTCTGTCTTCAGAAAGGTTTATATTAAAGTTACGCTTACTTTCACCAGGTATTTAAAAATTTTAATCTCACATGAAGACATGGAAAACCGTCGAGGCATTTTGTAAGTATTGTGCTGGTTTGCATATTTAGGGATAAAAGAACAAGCACGTGAATTACAATTTATACTTTTGCAACCAAACCAATGCACAGACACTGTGTCCACCAGCTACTTGTCCAAACCCGCATTATCAATGCCACCAGTCCAGTGGATGACCATAGGGAAGTGGTACCGGTATATTGGATATAAAGGATACTTAAGGCTGCGTCGCCAATATCTTCTGGATAATAACTTTTATTTAAACAAAAAATATAAATGACTAACCGCAAACCCAGAACGTGTCAGTGTGTTTAAGTGTGTATGTATATTGATTGCACGTGTACACGTGTGTGTGTGTGTGTGTGTGTGTGTGTGTGTGTGTGTTTGTGTGTGTGCGCGCGTGTTGAAGTATGATCTTTTGAATGTTCGGCTGAGAATGGGATTTCCTACATGTACTTACCGGTAGGACCACATAATGCATTTTAAAGGAGCAGATAACTATTAACGTGGCTGTTATAAAAACGCCAAACAAAAGCAGCTAAACGACTAAAGACTGTTCTCAGCATACCGTTGATAGAAGTAAATTAATTCTCCTTTCCCATTCTGATGTCGTGTGATTTACAAGAAAAGCTGGCGTTTTAATGTATTGGAATACAGAAGAAACACATTTTCCAAAAAGTGAAGCCTCACAATATATTATTGCGGTCCCATACTGTACACGATATACTGTATTATTGCGTGCACAGCATGGTCAGTATAGGTCTCATACTGTACACGATATATTGTATTATTGCGTGCACAGCGTGGTCAGTATAGGTCTCATACTGTACACGATATACTGTATTATTGCGTGCACAGCATGGTCAGTATAGGTCTCATACTGTACTCGATATACTGGATTATTGCGTGCACAGCATGGTCAGTATAGGTCTCATACTGTACACGATATACTGTATTATTGCGTGCACAGCATGGTCAGTATATTATTACTTGAACAGAATGGACACATTGGCCATCTGTAACCCCTCCCCACCCCCACCCCCCAATGCAGATATCGTGCCAAACAAAATCTTGTGTGAGATTTTTTGTTATATCGTGCGTGCCATTTGTAGCCATATGTGATTTTGTCGTCTACCACACCATCTGTTGAAGTTTTCCCATGAAACGAAAATGAACAATTTGTTCTGCAGTTCATCAACATACCGTAAACACTATATGCCTTTAAATGCTTTGATTAGAATATGTTCTTTGCTGTTATACATTTCATACATGCATGCATTTGATAAATGCCCAGATGGTAAAGAACGCGCACGCGCGTGTAAAAAGGTTTTCAGTTAATTGTGTTTTCGCGTTCTTTTGTGTATTTTTGTATAATGCACTTCTTTACAAGTCTGATAAAACTTTTTGAAATATATACTTCCCCTGTTATTATTTCTATGTATTTATTTATTATCAATTACAGTCATTCAAATAGTACCAAATAAGATTAAATAATTAATAAAGCCAGCAAATATTCATCATTACGTTTCTAATACATGAGCTTCTGAGATTTATTCGAAAAAGGACTGCGGTAACGAAACATGTATCAAAACCATCATTGCTCTCGCAGATATTCAGTGTTCTCAGACTTTAAGTGATCGACAAGTTAAAAACAGGAACCATTTTGGAGTTATACAAAACGTGGTCAGTTTTTGTCGCTCTTTATGCCATGTTGATACGCAAATAAAAAAAGAACGAGGATGAGAAATTAAACTCTTGTCTATTTATTACAAAATGTCTCTGACAGTACATATACAACCGTGACATCGTTCAAGCTAGGCTCGAACTTTGACTTTCCAGATCTTTGAGACGCGCGCGAAACGTTGTCTTTTATTTTTCGAACATCGACACATTTTTCACCGACCTTCGAGACATGCTCAGAATATTACGTTTCTGACTTTCTAGACTGATCGATGAATATGTAAAAAAAATTCGGGTCACGCAACGTATTTGGTATTACAATATCTGAGGTTACCCTGATTCCCAAATCATCCTGAGTTTGTTTCTCGTTACAGTGCGAGTAGCTAAACAAGAAACAAAAGTCAGATAAACTGTAGAATTCAGGGTGCTAGATGGCCATATTTTTTCTCACTCAAACCACTGTCAAAACAATCCTTGTTTCCGTGAGTAATATAAATCTATCAAGACAACAAAGTTACACTCAACATAATAATTTATACTCATTTGTAATATTGATATTATATTGTTAATAATAAGCCAACAAAGTGTAGACTCTGAGTCGACAGTGACTGCCGTGATATGAGCCAATGTAAAAACAATAAATTAAAAATAAATTATATATAAAAATTAAACAACACAATCTGCTATTGAACAGTGACTAGAAGCGCTCACAAACACAACACGTTTAAAAACAATTTCACTCATTAAAATAGAATTAAGTAGACTTGTGCGTGGATGGCGCCGAATAACGCAAGATCTCGCGTGATCTTCCAAACAGATAAAGTGAACAATTAAACGAAATCACAAGTAGAAAATTCCACATTTCATAGCAATGTTTCATCCCTTAGACGTTTTATGGCACTTGAAAGCAGCAATGAATAAACGCAGACAAAAATACCCCTAGCGTTCTCAAGCCGGCGGTTACCAAATACTACAATAAAAACACCAGCTAAAGTAGAAATAAATGCATAAAAATACACCATGAAATGCAATCAAAAGCTAATTGACAGATTAAATAAAACTATTGCAATACGGATAATACTATATTTGTTCATTTTTGGCAAGTTTCTGACCAATTTTTATAAAAGAACACCACCACGTCTGGTGATATGTAAGTATCGCTTAATAAAATAATGTAAGTATATATGTCATGGACAAAAATCCTTGGTGGAAAACAGATTAAACGCATGCAGAACAGTAATTTCCTAACTTGTTGTAGCTCGTTATTTGGTAGAGACATATGTGAGGCGCATGCTCAGTGTAATTGGACTAATGTAGGTAAAGGTATCGCCTCTTTTTTCAGGTGTTTTACAAATCGTGAAAAATTGCTACTTATCCCATCACAAAGACTGGCCATTAGAAATAAGAAATCTACATTTTCAATTTTAGAAATCTTCAAAGAGATATCCTTGCTGTCCGTTACGAACTCTGACTTGTGATTCCGACACATATGACTGGCATACCATAGCATGATATGAGACACGTGATCCGCCGCAAGTAGGTCATTCGAACTACGCGCGGTTCCAGTATGCTTTGAGTTGTCTTTGTAATGCTGTAAACAATAGGTTCATAGGGGCAGCTGGTTGTTGAGATATAAAGAATCTATAACTGAGGGCAGACTCAACTCCTTGTCTTCTTTTAATGCAACAAACCTCTGTACACCTTCTCGGCAAAGTGTTCTTAGTTCAGGAATTACACCGAGGATTTTAGAGAAATACTGTTGCTTCTTCTGAGCTTCGCTGTTGTATGTGCTGTGGTCACGTAGAGCGTCAATGACTTTCATCTGTAATTCTTCCATCTTTTTTGTCTCCTTAAGACCATGGCGTTCTAAGAAGAAAAAAATTCACATGTTAAATATGAAAAAATAATGATTATGGTGTAAGACGTGTGCCAGAAAATTACAAAGCAAAAAGTTACATCGAATAAATTTTATTTCAAATTGACAGTAAATGCCGCTTACGTACACCAAGCGAAAATGTTCGTCAATCAAACTTCTTATATAAAAAGCGATAACTAATTTTCTTAACAAAGTAAACCTAATTATCTTTCCGAATGAAAGGAAGAGGGAGTGGAAGTTGCAGATAAAGAACATGCAGTCAATAACTTACCGGTTATCATGGTAAGAGCGGCCATACACGAGAGAGCTGAAATGTCAACGTCCATGCGGTGGAGGGCCATGCCGAAATCCACTATAGAGTTGATCCAGTCGCCAAAACTGGGTAAACATTGTAAACGATGTAAAACCAGACCCGAGCAGAATATAATTCTGTCATCATTTGGCTGGATTCTAAAAGAAAGAAAAATATAAAAAATAAAATTAAAAAAGAACAAAAGACTCCACATAATTCAGACACTTTGGAACCGCCAAATTAGTTGCTGTGATTCGAGTTAGGCAAAATTCATATCAATTCAACTAACACACGCCCACACACACACACACCCACACACACGAACCTTTAAGATTCGTTAAAGAAAAACGACAATTCGCATTATAAGGCGACGTCTTATGCAGTCTGCTGTATTTAGAATGTGTTAGTGAACTTTAATTTGGTTGTTTGATTGTATTCAGTGCTTTAGATGTTACATGCGCATTGGCGTGTTGGATACTGCTGTTTTCCCTTTAATGCCACAAAAAAGGCAAATGAAAATCGTATAGTATATATACCAGTAAATGTTTAATCCAGTGTGTGTGTGTGTGTGTGTATGTGTGTGTGTGTGTACAGTGTGCGTGGTTGTAACCTATAGTATACCTCTTACAAACATCCGCTCACAAATTAGAGAATATACAGCATGAGGTCAATAAAGAAACACAAACAAACGAACTGACACGATTTAAGAGGTTTGTCTGAGCACTCACCTGGACGCTATTCTAAGCACTACGAGCTCTAACGAAGCAGAGTTGAAAAGAAGCTCCTGATCGTGTTTACAGAGTTCGGTAAATCCGGGAATTTTTTCCGCCCAAACTCGGAGAAGATCGATGGAGGAGGTGATGAGCTCGAAAAACTGCGGCAAGTCCAGCTGCGCATGCGTTGTCAGCTGGTGATCTTCTCCTCCAGGGACGCGGAACTAAAAAAGTGAAGGAGAAAAAAATCGATAGTCGATTGATTCATTAGAATTCTCTCCGATTGGGTATATGATTTATTTTCTTATAATGACTTCATACCAATTCGATATTCTGAAATCGTTATTGATGTGTCTTTCTTTCTTTTCTTTTTCTTTTTCTTTTTTTTTTTTTTTTTTGGGGAGGGGTGGGTGGGTAGGTGAATCGCAGGTTAGCACAATCGAAGTGTATAAGGTTTAAGCTAAATAAAAGTGTGGATTACTTTGAATAATATAAACATAAAGAAAGAAAGATGGCTACAGAAGTATTCAATATAAAGTTGGTTATAAAGAAAGAGTTCGAGGAAGGTTCTACCAATGTCCATCGCGGTCTGGTTTTGGAAAAAGTCACATGTACACATCGTTAACAAGTTCTGGCGACTGTTCTAATTGTGTGTACGTATAATTGCAGTGAATATTACAGCAGACTTTGACAGCTTTTGAAAGGTAAAATATGTTATTTACTGTAAACAATTTATTCTTATATAAATACAAAGACAAATTACCCAGGCAATGTGCGTGTTCTCAGTAAAAAGTGTGATGGCCGAACCTTCAATGTAGTGTGTACATATATCAAATAAATTATCGAGGTGTTTGTGTTTATGGGACCAACGTTCCTTCATCGGTATCATTTGTCCACCAAGAAAGCGAGTAAACATTCTAGTGACTATTTCGATCTACTGTTTCTAAGCCTAGATTGCGCTTCAGTCATCAACAACGTACGCTTTCCACTGATCCATTTTCGCATTCAAATTCACCAAACCAATTGGCCGTTAAACAAGGGAGCACTCCGTCTGCTGTTAATTCCCAGATCTAAAGCGATATTAGTCCAAGCTAATGAAGCAGAAATCATATATATCTCATTCTGACGATGTCAATATGCGAGAGTAAATACAGCCCATCTGTAGATTAGAAATCATTCTGCAAGATCCTTTGACAGCCTAACCGCCGACTGGCAACGGCAAAGCAACACAAACGCGATCTGCAGAGCAATTTCGCCAATTCTCTAAGCACTCTTCGTATAATTGATTGTCTATTATCGAGCGTTATTAGTTAAATGATGTATTCAATCTTCGCTCCCGAACGTGTAAATTGGGATTAATTTCAATTTATTTGATTTCCCCGTATGTTGCGTGAAGTGCCCACGCTTAAAAAGAGGAGGGAGTCTGTTGGCCGTGTGAGTATTCTTTCCTAAGGCGCTGTTTATTTAAAGAGTCTTGTTTGATGAATAAGATGAACTTAAAACAACCAAGCTGACCGTTCAAAGAGTGCGATCTTCTCTTTGTTGTATGTTGTTTGCTAGTGATACAATGTACGTGTAGGCCTAGCGTCCTCATACTTCCTTTGTGCTGGCCTCAGATCATCATCAAACAATTCACTGCAAATTGAAATAAGGTCACGTACAACACACGCTGCACACACGTTGCACTGAGTTCACTGTGCCTCGAGATAAATTTCCCCCACTTTAAAACCCGTTTGAGAGTCACATCTTTGATAATGTAGGCAGACAAAGACGTGGCAAACAGGCACAGTATCCCAATGGCTAAGGGCTACTTTGCGGCAAAGAAATTAATGTTCCGCCATTAAAACGCCTTGCTTTAGCGCCAGCTCTTAAAAGTAACCAAAGAGGGAACATGGAGATAGAATAAAAAGGGGCTTCAAATGTTGATCGGGCATGAATTTGAAAAATTTAAGACATTTCTTTTTTTTTTTTTTTTTTNTGAATTTAAGATCTAAATTAGAAAAAATACAAATCTTTACTGGTTATACAGACACTGAAATTTTGATTTTGGGACTGTTGCAAATACAGATGGTAATTTTTAGCTTGGTATTAATATGTTAAAAATATTTATCAAAGAGTTGCTAAAACTAAAAACAATTTATGGGTTAATTGGATTTTTTTTCTTTTTTTTTTTTTTTTTTTTTTTTTTGCACTCAAACTGTGTGTATCACACCAACATTTCAAGAAACAATTCACAATTATAACCATTCGGTTCATGTTTAGGCCGCGACCGTCAGGGTGCATGGTTCAGAATCGGCATGATATGCACGTGTCTATCATGTCGTAATCGCACTGTTTGTCTTGTAAGATTTGGTTTTACAAGCTTTCAGTGAGGAGTGGTATTCTTTCAATATTGTAAACTTGTGATAAAAAGAAGTGAAAATAAAATCAAGGAGGGCAGATGTGATAGGATATGCAGCTGCAATAATTTTGTCATTTTTTAAAATATTAATGAAAACATGAAAATCTGGACACAGATGTCTTATAACTTAACTGGTCATGTACAAAAACGTGTAGCAATAACTACAAAAAAGATCCCAAATTATTTTGTAACGTTATTAATGCTTACGCACGTGCACTCAAAAGCAGAATTTGTTTAATCAAGCAACAAAGCGGAATTAATGAACAGAAAAAAAGAAAGAAAGTATGTTATATAATTTCACTTTTTTCTAACTAACCTGAGAGTAGTCTAGAGTTGGCATGTCCGGCGAGGTATCCACGTGCGCGCGCACAAGGGCGGTAATGAGGCTCACAGGCGGAGAAGGCGGGGATTCTTGGGGGCTCTTTGGTTTTGATGGCAGACGACCGCGTCTCCCTTTAAGATTATCTGTTCGCACAACTGAAACGAAATAAGACGAATAAATAAAAAGAAAAAAGCGACGTGCAGTGATATCCTCAATTGTGAAGTTACTGTAATACTAAGGCAAATTATCTACAATGGCTGAAACTATAAAAATAATAATAAAGCACATGTATAATTATAACTACCCGGTATATATTATATCTAAAACAAGATAAAAAAATTAAAAAATGCAAAACAACTTGAGAGAGAAGAAGGCAAGAACTTCGTAAGCAGTTGCGACCACACTATTACTTTGATAAATCTTGATAGTTCCTCCTATCAACAGCTAAAATTAGAGTTATTGGTCTCTAATATGTCGGTGTTTGCCAAGACCAACTCAGGGAATGGGGCTATAAATGCTGAGGTGAAAAACCAAGAACTGAGATTTATCTAATTCATGCTTTGGCAAGTGCCCTTGCATTCTAATCAGATTCACGGTTTATTCGACGTTTTCCAGTTAGAAAGAAGTCTAAGCGCCATGAGCTGGGTAATGCCACACATCCAAGGGAGAGGGCATCAAAAAGTGAAAGGAGAATCAGACTGGAAACCACTGGAGGATTTAGGACTTTGGACTGAAAATTTTACTATTATCTTTAATTCTCTCTGAAGATCCTTTAAAGCTAATGGAAAAAAACGTTTGCAACCAGAATGTTTCAGCTTTCAGGCTGGATATGCTTAGATCTACGAGGGAAAAACTCAAAATTCAGTGGTCTGAATACTAAAATCCCAAGGGAATTACCTCAGGGGACAGGAATTAACATAGAAGACTAATGAGAGCCCAACATCGATAAACCTTCTCCGATTTTTTTTCGCAAAAAACTAATACCAGAGACTCGTATTGATTACGGCTTTGACATATTTTCTCGCCATTTCTTAAGACGGGTCATCCTCGAGCTGACCAGGGACGAAAGAGAAACATGTAGTTTGTTTAATGAAAAAATACATCCATTTCAACTCAAGATTATCTGATGATCGATCGATCTGACGAGTTCTATTGCCGATTATTTGAAAGACATCTTAACTCTCCAAAGTCACGGTTAAGGCACCTCCAAGAAAAATACCTCCCACACGTGCGTATGCCAAGCTAACTGCCTTAACGGCCTTTCAGCCGTTTGCAGATGCAGAGAGCAGCCTCAGAGCTCAATGTTTGGAGCAAATCCTAAATCACATCAACAAGCGGATAACCTTATGTTGCGTCTACTTAATATATATCAGTATATATATGCTATAGGCCTAATCCAGTATGTGGATGCACAGCACGGCAAAAACAATGTATTGAAGAACACTGCGGACTTTGAGATAAAAAGAAGTGGATCAAAAGAAAATATTTTGGCAACCAAACCAAATCAAATGCTCTGCCCTAGCTTGTGTCTAAGATTAATTCCTACAGAAAACTAGTGTGTGCCACAGAAATATTTCAACTCCTCTCAATACCATCACCATAGGACCTCCCAGTCAACCCATCAGCTAGATTGATGTTAATAATACTCGATCAATAACGAATTTCAATAGCTACTGGGCCACATGTTACATAGAACGGTCGTCTGTTGGAAGGAGGCATGGCAAAATATAGTTGATGGTGATGCTCCTTTTTTCATGCTACTCATCTTTCTCTCTCTCTCTCTCTCTCTCTCTCTCTCTCTCTCTTAGACACACACACACACACACACACACACACAGAGAGAGAGAGAGAGAGAGAGAGAGAGAGAGAAACTCACCCTCTTTGACCATTCCCACCACAAGGCACTTCTGAAAGCGGCAGAACTGACACCTGTTGCGCCGCCTTTTGTCCACAGGACAACTCTTGTCTCCCAGACACACGTATTTGGAACCCTTCTGAACCGTTCTCTGAAAATAAAAAGAAAAATCAACGCGGCCGTCAAATTTAAAGGATGTCACTGCCATTAGTAATATTGTTGCCAAGCAACCAGTGGTGTTAAATAGGTAGGTGTTAAACAGCGGGCTAGGTTGTTAATTATGGCCAGGCGCAGGAGCTATAGTTTGTGGATCTATGCTGATAGTCTGTGGCATGGAAGAAAAAAACTAAGGGAAGGAAGAGGAAGCGCCCATATCCTGTGGGGTCTGTACATAGAATGGTATCATTTTTAAGAAAAGTATGCAATTAATAGCAACACGTAAAAGCTGTATTTAAAGTTCAATTAACCAACATGCACTTTTGCGCCTTACCTTAACTCAAATCATTTTCATAATTCACTCATGCATCCCCAAATAGCTCATTCAATAACATTAGTTCTGTCTCGCTCTCGTTTTTTTCTTCTCTCTCGCACGTCTCTGACACACTCACATTTACTATAGGCAATTAATTAATATAAAAACACACACACGCACATTTCCTGTAGGCAGTTAAATTATAAAAACACACACACACACACTTTCCCAGTACTCTCACATCTTCAGATCAACAGTCCTATTCTTGTGTCTTACCTTAAAGAAGCCTTTGCAGCCCTCACACGTCCTAACCCCGTAATGCTGACATGCTGCATTGTCCCCGCATACGGCACAGCATTGGCTCTCTTTGGGCGGAGGTACCATGTCCCTCCCGGGGGACGAGCGGGTGGATGAGGGGGTGGGCGGGGTCGTGGGAGAATGCATTTGATATTTCTGTAACTCTAAGCTGAAAGTATTAACAAGAGAAGGTCAGGGTTAAGTTTGCATTCAAAGAAGAAGAAGAGCAGTTAAGAGGGTATTGGCAGCTTGCAGAAATATATAATTGTTGTATTGAATACTGTTGTATTGAGATACAGTTCTGTTTTAATGTTACTGCATTTAGTGTTGTTGTTATGTTATGTTTTTCTTTTAAAACGTTGTAGTATTGTTATGTTGTGGTATACTGTCATGCACCATGGGTGCTTGTTTATCTATTTCTCTTTTGTTGTTGTTGCTACGTTTGCAAATTTCCACCTGCTAAAAGTACCCACAAAATGCCAAAATGTACAGAACCTTACTAACAAAAGCAATTCACCGCAAAATCACATTACGAGAAGCATCTGAAAAAATCCGCAATCCCCGTAATTTTCATTGTCAAATAATTGGGTGTGGGTGATAAATTGATAGGGAAAACGGTTCCTGATTCAAAGCAATCTCAATTATTTAATGTTATTACAGGGACGACGAGAGCGGTCACGATCCATTAGCTAGTTAGACGTTCACAGCTCGAGCTCTGGATATTTCAATACTGTAGATTGGTGGTGAGCAATTAATGGCAGGTTACGATTAATTCTGTGTGGAAACACTAGGGGATGTGCGCAGCACGTTCGAGAAATCATTCTGAACGTGTGGATTACTGCTAATGGTAAAAGGCGTACATATTGAAGACATGGATACTAATCAAAACTCAGGAATAGGATTTCATATATCATATTTTATCTGTTAAGTCAATCTGACAAAATATATAACAAAAGTAATAATAAGGTTATTTTAAGCCAAATCGTAGTTACCGGTATACACGCTAAACAACTATGCTACAAAATTACATATATTGTATATGCCTATTTTCCAGTATTTGAATATCATTCTGTATAAATCCGAGGCAAAACAGTTTCGTGTACCCCTCAAGTATTCGCCAGTGTTTGTAGGATAAATTACATGTCCACACTAGAGTATAGCTGGTTTAAGACAAATATAGCTGAGAGTGCTGAGGGGTGTAGATGAAACGGAGCGATGGATCTGAGAACAAGGGAGTCCATTAAAATGAATAAGGAAAAGGTTTCATGAAAACGGAAACACATCAGCCAACCATGCAAAATACACGTTCACTGTCAGCAATCTTTGAAACACACTGGTACTTTTATTATGTAAGTATGGTGTACCGCTCATTAAGTTGTTAGAGCGTAAATTTCGGTCATTTTCAGCATCAGCTGCATGCATATTTGTTTTGGTTATTCATTAAGCAGATGGGTGCCAACCCCTTCTAAATAAAATGATCAATAAATATTGAATCTAATTTTTTTAGAAATTTCAAAAATCATTAGTAGGCCTAAACATAAAAATAAATGTNTTTTTTTTTTTTTTTTTTTTTTGCATTCAAACTGTGTGTATCACACCAACATTTCAAGAAACAATTCACAATTATAACCATTCGGTTCATGTTTAGGCCGCGACCGTCAGGGTGCATGGTTCAGAATCGGCATGATATGCACGTGTCTGTCATGTCGTAATCGCACTGTTTGTCTTGAAAGATTTGGTTTTACAAGCTTTCAGTGAGGAGTGGTATTCTTTCAATATTGTAAACTTGTGATAAAAAGAAGTGAAAAAAAATCAAGGAGGGCAGATGTGATAGGATATGCAGCTGCAATAATTTTGTCATTTTTCAAAATATTAATGAAAACATGAAAATCTGGACACAGATGTCTTATAACTTAACTGGTCATGTACAAAAACGTGTAGCAATAACTACAAAAAAGATCCCAAATTATTTTGTAACGTTATTAATGCTTACGCACGTGCATTCAAAAGCAGAATTTGTTTAATCAAGCAACAAAGCGGAATTAATGAACAGAAAAACTAACCTGAGAGTAGTCTAGAGTTGGCATGTCCGGCGAGGTATCCACGTGCGCGCGCACAAGGGCGGTAATGAGGCTCACAGGCGGAGAAGGCGGGGATTCTTGGGGGCTCTTTGGTTTTGATGGCAGACGACCGCGTCTCCCTTTAAGATTATCTGTTCGCACAACTGAAACGAAATAAGACGAATAAATAAAAAGAAAAAAGCGACGTGCAGTGATATCCTCAATTGTGAAGTTACTGTAATACTAAGGCAAATTATTTACAATGGCTGAAACTATAAAAATAATAATAAAGCACATGTATAATTATAACTACCCGGTATGTATTATATCTAAAACAAGATAAAAAATTAAAAAATGCAAAACAACTTGAGAGAGAAGAAGGCAAGAACTTCGTAAGCAGTTTCGACCACACTATTACTTTGATAAATCTTGATAGTTCCTCCTATCAACAGCTAAAATTAGAGTTATTGGTCTCTAATATGTCGGTGTTTGCCAAGACCAACTCAGGGAATGTGGCTATAAATGCTGAGGTGAAAAACCAAGAACTGAGATTTATCTAATTCATGCTTTGGCAAGTGCCCTTGCTTTCTAATCATATTCACGGTTTATTCGACGTTTTCCAGTTAGAAAGAAGTCTAAGCGCCATGAGCTGGGTAATGCCATACATCCAAGGGAGAGGGCATCAAAAAGTGAAAGGAGAATCAGACTGGAAACCACTGGAGGATTTAGGACTTTGGACTGAAAATTTTACTATTATCTTTAATTCTCTCTGAAGATCCTTTAAAGCTAATGGAAAAAAACGTTTGCAACCAGGATGTTTCAGCTTTCAGGCTGGATATGCTTCGATCTACGAGGGAAAAACTCAACATTCAGTGGTCTGAATACTAAAATCCCCAGGGAATTACCTCAGGGGACAGGAATTAACATAGAAGACTAATGAGAGCCCAACATCGATAAACCTTCTCCGATTTTTTTCGCGAAAAACTAATACCAGAGACTCGTATTGATTACGGCTTTGACATATTTTCTCGCCATTTCTTAAGACGGGTCATCCTCGAGCTGACCAGGGACGAAAGGGAAACATGTAGTTTGTTTAATGAAAAAATACATCCATTTCAACTCAAGATTATCTGATGATCGATCGATCTGACGAGTTCTATTGCCGATTATTTGAAAGACATCTTAACTCTCCAAAGTCACGGTTAAGGCACCTCCAAGAAAAATACCTCCCACACGTGCGTATGCCAAGCTAACTGCCTTAACGCCCTTTCAGCCGTTTGCAGATGTCAGAGAGCAGCCTCAGAGCTCAATGTTTGGAGCAAATCCTAAATCACATAAACAAGCGGATAACCTTATGTTGCGTCTACTCAATATATATCAGTATATATAGTGAGTCTATGTCTATAGGCCTAACCCAGTATGTGGATGCACAGCACGGCAAAAACAATGTATTGAAGAATACTGCGGACTTTGAGATAAAAAAGAAGTGGATCAAAAGAAAATATTTTGGCAACCAAACCAAATCAAATGCTCTGCCCTAGCTTGTGTCTAAGATTAATTCCTACAGAAAACTAGTGTGTGCCACAGAAATATTTCAACTCCTCTCAATACCATCACCATAGGACCTCCCAGTCAACCCATCAGCTAGATTGATGTTAATAATACTCGATCAATAACGAATTTCAATAGCTACTGGTCCACATGTTACATAGAACGGTCGTCTGTTGGAAGGAGGCATGGCAAAATATAGTTGATGGTGATGCTCCTTTTTTCGTGCTACTCATCTTTCTCTCTCTCTCTCTCACACACACACACACACACACGCGCGCGCGCGCGCACACACACACAGAGAGAGAGAGAGAGAGATAGAGAGAGAGAGAGAGAGAAACTCACCCTCTTTGACCATTCCCACCACAAGGCACTTCTGAAAGCGGCAGAACTGACACCTGTTGCGCCGCCTTTTGTCCACAGGACAACTCTTGTCTCCCAGACACACGTATTTGGAACCTTTCTGAACCGTTCTCTGAAAATAAAAAGAAAAATCAACGCGGCCGTCAAATTTAAAGGATGTCACTGCCATTAGTAATATTGTTGCCAAGCAACCGGTGGTGTTAAATCGGTAGGTGTTAAACAGCGGGCTAGGTTGTTAATTATGGCCAGTCGCAGGAGCTTTAGTTTGTGGATCTATGCTGATAGTCTGTGGCATGGTAGAAAAAAAACAAGGGAAGGAAGAGGAAGCGCCCATATCCTGTGGGGTCTGTACATAGGATGATATCATTTTTAAGAAAAGTATGCAATTAATAGCAAACACGTAAAAGCTGTATTTAAAGTTCAATTAACCAACATGCACTTTTGCGCCTTACCTCAACTTAAATTATTTTCATAATTCACTCATGCATCCCCAAGTAGTTCACTCAATAACATTAGTTCTGTCTCGCTCTCGTTTTTTCTTCTCTCACACACGTCTCTGACACACACACACACACACACACACACACACATTTACTATAGGCAATTAATTAATATAAAAAAAACACACGCACACATTTCCTGTAGGCAGTTAAATTATAAAAACACACACACACACACTTTCCCAGTACTCTCACATCTTCAGATCAACAGTCCTATTCTTGTGTCTTACCTTAAAGAAGCCTTTGCAGCCCTCACACGTCCGAACCCCGTAATGCTGACATGCTGCATTGTCCCCGCATACGGCACAGCATTGGCTCTCTTTGGGCGGAGGTACCATGTCCCTCCCGGGGGACGAGCGGGTGGATGAGGGGGTGGGCGGGGTCGTGGGAGAATGCATTTGATATTTCTGTAACTCTAAGCTGAAAGAATTAACAAGAGAAGGTCAGGGTTAAGTTTGCATTCAAAGAAGAAGAAGAGCAGTTAAGAGGGTATTGGCAGCTTGCAGAAATATATAATTGTTGTATTGAATACTGTTGTATTGCAATACAGTTTATTTTAATGTTGCTGCATTTAGTGTTGTTGTTATGTTATGTTGTTCTTTTATAACGTTGTAGTATTGTTATGTTGTGATATACTGACATGCACTATGGGTGCTTGTTTATCTATTTCTTCTCTTTTGTTGTTGTTGCTACGTTTGCAAATTTCCACCTGCTAAAAGTACCCACAAAATGCCAAAATGAACAGAACCTTACTAACAAAAGCAATTCACCGCAAAATCACATTACGAGAAGCATCTGAAAAAATCCGCAATCCCCGTAATTTTCATTGTCAAATAATTGGGTGATAAATTGATAGGGAAAACGGTTCCTGATTCAAAGCAATCTCAATTATTTAATGTTATTACAGGGACGACGAGAGCGGTCACGATCCATTAGCTAGTTAGACGTTCACAGCTCGAGCTCTGGATATTTCAATACTGTAGATTGGTGGTGAGCAATTAATGGCAGGTTACGATTAATTCTGTGTGGAAACACTAGGGGATGTGCGCAGCACGTTCGAGAAATCATTCTGAACGTGTGGATTACTGCTAATGGTAAAAGGCGTACATATTGAAGACATGGATACTAATCAAAACTCAGGAATAGGATTTCATATATCATATTTTATCTGTTAAGTCAATCTGACAAAATATATAACAAAAGTAATAATAAGGTTATTTTAAGCCAAATCGTAGTTACCGGTATACACGCTAAACAACTATGCTTCAAAATTACATATATTGTATATGCCTATTTTCCAGTATTTGAATATCATTCTGTATAAATCCGAGGCAAAACAGTTTCGTGTACCCCTCAAGTATTCGCCAGTGTTTGTAGGATAAATTACATGTCCACACTAGAGTATAGCTGGTTTAAGACAAATATAGCTGAGAGTGCTGAGGGGTGTAGATGAAACGGAGCGATGGATCTGAGAACAAGGGAGTCCATTAAAATGAATAAGGAAAAGGTTTCATGAAAACGGAAACACATCAGCCAACCATGCAAAATACACGTTCACTGTCAGCAATCTTTGAAACACACTGGTACTTTTATTATGTAAGTATGGTGTACCGCTCATTAAGTTGTTAGAGCGTAAATTTCGGTCATTTTCAGCATCAGCTGCATGCATATTTGTTTTGGTTATTCGTTAAGCAGATGGGTGCCAACCCCTTCTAAATAAAATGATCAATAAATATTGAATCTAATTTTTTTAGAAATTTCAAAAATCATTAGTAGGCCTAAACATAAAAATAAATATATGTATAACAAGATTTGTTCTTACTTGGCTTCTGTAGACATGGAGCCAACCAAAGTGAGTGAGGGTCGCCTTCTGAAGGGGGAGCGGGGGACGTCCATCCCCATCCCTGGGCCATACATCCCTCTGTTGGACTGGTTAAGGAGATTATACCCACTCTCCGGACACCCCATGCGCGTGGCGTTATCGTAGTAACCATGGTAACCGTGAAAGGCGGTCTGATCCGGACCGAAGAACCCGCTGTCCGCCAGAGGGCTCGAGTGGAACGGTTTCTGGTCCATGGGAATGGACTGAGGGTACATTGGCTGGGACCCGTGACCGTGGTAACCACCCTGTTGGGGGGCACGGGTGTGGAAATAGTCCAGTCCCCCGGGGCCCTCCTCACCTCCAAACCCCGTAGGCTGTTTATAACAGTCAAAATTATCCGTCGGGTAACTCTGGTAGTGACCCTGGTAATGTATTGTGCTAGCCATAGGTGAATCCGGTGGGCACGGATCATTCCCGAATCCGGTGAAGGGAAATTTGGTGTCTTCTCCACCGCGAGCGTAAGGGGTGTAGTTGCCCGATTGTTCTATCCCGCTACCGTAGCCANACCGCAAAATCACATTACGAGAAGCATCTGAAAAAATCCGCAATCCCCGTAATTTTCATTGTCAAATAATTGGGTGTGGGTGATAAATTGATAGGGAAAACGGTTCCTGATTCAAAGCAATCTCAATTATTTAATGTTATTACAGGGACGACGAGAGCGGTCACGATCCATTAGCTAGTTAGACGTTCACAGCTCGAGCTCTGGATATTTCAATACTGTAGATTGGTGGTGAGCAATTAATGGCAGGTTACGATTAATTCTGTGTGGAAACACTAGGGGATGTGCGCAGCACGTTCGAGAAATCATTCTGAACGTGTGGATTACTGCTAATGGTAAAAGGCGTACATATTGAAGACATGGATACTAATCAAAACTCAGGAATAGGATTTCATATATCATATTTTATCTGTTAAGTCAATCTGACAAAATATATAACAAAAGTAATAATAAGGTTATTTTAAGCCAAATCGTAGTTACCGGTATACACGCTAAACAACTATGCTTCAAAATTACATATATTGTATATGCCTATTTTCCAGTATTTGAATATCATTCTGTATAAATCCGAGGCAAAACAGTTTCGTGTACCCCTCAAGTATTCGCCAGTGTTTGTAGGATAAATTACATGTCCACACTAGAGTATAGCTGGTTTAAGACAAATATAGCTGAGAGTGCTGAGGGGTGTAGATGAAACGGAGCGATGGATCTGAGAACAAGGGAGTCCATTAAAATGAATAAGGAAAAGGTTTCATGAAAACGGAAACACATCAGCCAACCATGCAAAATACACGTTCACTGTCAGCAATCTTTGAAACACACTGGTACTTTTATTATGTAAGTATGGTGTACCGCTCATTAAGTTGTTAGAGCGTAAATTTCGGTCATTTTCAGCATCAGCTGCATGCATATTTGTTTTGGTTATTCGTTAAGCAGATGGGTGCCAACCCCTTCTAAATAAAATGATCAATAAATATTGAATCTAATTTTTTTAGAAATTTCAAAAATCATTAGTAGGCCTAAACATAAAAATAAATATATGTATAACAAGATTTGTTCTTACTTGGCTTCTGTAGACATGGAGCCAACCAAAGTGAGTGAGGGTCGCCTTCTGAAGGGGGAGCGGGGGACGTCCATCCCCATCCCTGGGCCATACATCCCTCTGTTGGACTGGTTAAGGAGATTATACCCACTCTCCGGACACCCCATGCGCGTGGCGTTATCGTAGTAACCATGGTAACCGTGAAAGGCGGTCTGATCCGGACCGAAGAACCCGCTGTCCGCCAGAGGGCTCGAGTGGAACGGTTTCTGGTCCATGGGAATGGACTGAGGGTACATTGGCTGGGACCCGTGACCGTGGTAACCACCCTGTTGGGGGGCACGGGTGTGGAAATAGTCCAGTCCCCCGGGGCCCTCCTCACCTCCAAACCCCGTAGGCTGTTTATAACAGTCAAAATTATCCGTCGGGTAACTCTGGTAGTGACCCTGGTAATGTATTGTGCTAGCCATAGGTGAATCCGGTGGGCACGGATCATTCCCGAATCCGGTGAAGGGAAATTTGGTGTCTTCTCCACCGCGAGCGTAAGGGGTGTAGTTGCCCGATTGTTCTATCCCGCTACCGTAGCCACCAGCGTCTTGGAACTGTGAGGCCGCCGCCTGCATCTGGGTGGCAGAGGGCGAGCAGCCCGGGTGGTGGTACGGCGGTTCACCAACATCCGTGTGAGGGCGGTCGAATCCCCCACTTCCTCCGCCACCGCCGCCTCCAAAATCCTCCGCCATGGAGACAGACTGGTCATCTCTTGGCGAGTAGAGACTGGACTCTGACGAGTAACTCTGTCCGGGATTGTAATGAGACGGGGTGAAGGGCGCGATGTCCTCGGCCATTGGAGGGGTGATACTGTTGTAAGTCGATGGGAAATGCTCCATGCCGGCATTGCTTGCATCAAACGGATTCGACTAAAAATATATATAAGTTTGGAGAAAATAATTAGAATATTGAAAAATACACAAGATTTGACGATAAACAATAAAATTTTGTACTTTCAGTAAACCAAAAAAATTCCAGGAATACGAGTTGGCATACATATGTCCAAATGCCGAGAAAATGACTCTTGAACAGAGATAGTTGCAGCATCATTATAAAGTAAATGAACTAAGAGCTAAAGCTATATTATTTTGTTCCTCTTATTATTTTTGAGTCGCCTATCGACGAAGTAAATTGACGTAACCAGCATAGTCTTCAACGTCATTAAATCGTCAGCGTTACGTTTTGATCCTCTAACTTACACATCCATTAATATGAAGACAGACACCAATTAACATCAAACATCCGTCAACTCAAGACAATTACACAAAGTTTCAGATTAATTGCTTTGGAACATACACATTGACGTCGAAATTGTTGCTACTGGTAGCGAAATAAAAAAAAAAGCCCAGTGCAACGTCGTTCTGTGATACGCTGCTGCCTGTGCTATTGTATTTGGCGGACGTATGACGAGGTCGTCATCAGGCAACAGGAAGTTAGCTGTCACGCCTGCGTGGTCTATGTGTAAAGTAGAAAGTTCTATCCACGCTAGGGTTTCCGGTGACATCTGCATAATTACACACACTGACATCTGTTATGAGAGAGAGAGAGAGTGAGAGAAGAGAGAGAGAGGAAAGGCTGATTGGTGCTAATCAAAAATAAAAAATTAATATCTTATAATACAGGTGTTAATTTTATATACTTTTCATAAATCTCCCATTTTTACTCGATGTATAAGCTCATTTTTCGATTCGGACAGAAAAATACATAAATTGAGCTCTGAGAGGTGCTGACATCTAAGCCAAAAGACAACATAAAAAATTTAAAAGAAGCACATTTTCTTATAATATTTTGTTTCGCCTCCATACGTTCGATGAGATTGCGAAAACATTGTCGTTTGAAGTTATTGATAGCACACTATCTGTGCGACAAACTACGATAATCAACGTATCCATTTCACACTCCCAATTTACATTACATCACTGGGATGTTTTCAAAACTGATTTCGTACTTATTCAAATTGGATTCCGACGAACCCGCCCACGTTTCCCTGATTTATCTCCAAGGCAAACACACGGCCGCGCTGATTAAATGTTCCTTAAAAAGATTCTGTATGTAAATACTGAACTGACGTAAATAAATCAAATACGAGTACACTTCCGAAAAGGTATCAATAACAAATATTCCTAAATGTTTTTTCTAATACGCATGTTTTTCTGACAATTTCTTTTTATTTTACACTGCTTGATTCTGGGAATATTCAATCCATGCTAGCTATTCAGCAAAACAAAATTTGTTATCAGAGTTATAGGAGATTATCTAGTCTTAACGGGGCTTATCTAGGATTCTTTCTTTTTTGAATGAAATGAGTCCAATTTCGAGATTGAACTATTAATCTTAGAAAAGAAAAAAGTTGTTAAAAAACCAATCTAGATATCGACAGCCTTACTTTCCTAGAGCACATCAGAGCAATATCGACATGGCCGGCTTAACAAACCCGTTCTTCAAATCAGTATAACGGTGTCGAAGCAGAGCCGAATACAGAGCTATTTTTCCACCCTTCAACTGCACGTATATCTGTCTACCAATATCCTTTTTAAATCTCCTGCTTCTTACACAGTTTTCTAGTAATTTAAAACAGAAGCACAAGCGCGGTTTGGGATTGATGTGATTGAAATTAACAAACAGTCTGAAGCAGAGTAGCCAAGCCCTGCGTAATTAGTGAGTTAGGTTTGAAAAAAAAAGAAAGTGGTAATCAATCCAACCGAAGAGAGGTTTGATACTGAATCTAAATATTACTTTTCGGTCAGAACTGTCTTTCAAAGGCATGAAAATAAAATATTGGATAAAAAGGCAAAAATTACGAAGCCGGCTTTTAATGGAAAATTACTCGCACTAAAAATTACTCGCAACCAAACCTACCTAGAGCCCAAAACTCCCCGTGCATTATTTTACGATCAAGTCTTGGGACATCACACTAAGCCCAGCAGGATCCAAGTGTAAATTTAGATCTACTCATCCCGTTTGTTTTAATAACACTTATCAGTAACCGCATTCGTTCCCATAGCCTTGCAATTTACTGCTCCTGAGAAGAATCCGCGGAGAGGCAGGCGTATTTTAGGTTCACGTTTAAGTCAAATAGCTTATTGTAAATCATCGCTTGTTGTTCTCAACGTTTTCGAATCAAATCGCTCAATTTTTATTGCCACATCACAGGATTGTATGCTCTTGTTAACCCCTTTCCGAATTACATCGCGTCGAGAAAAAAGAATACCGTTATGCTCTCTACAATAAAACTTGCTAATTTTCTATTAATAGGCAGATAAAAATGATAGTGAAAATGGCACAAATGAATTTCGTAAATAAGATGACATGTGTGTTTAATCAACATTCACCAGGACATAAACCTATTTTCAAGTAGAGATTATCACAATCTAGACCTGGTGTATCGGTAGTACTGAAATTCGATAGCAAATGAAAAACAGAAAGTCCATTTTTTTCTTACCTGTTCCTTCAGTAAATGTGAATATTCGAATAAATAGAAAGACTTCTACATTTGGCATGGCGATCTAATTTATGTACATCTAACTCAGTGGCCAAAACTGTACTATGTTATATATTTCTTTATGTCACTGTAAATGAACAATATCAGAAGGGACTTGTAAAGGGCATATGACGCTTCCAAAACCTTGTTAAAACGTCCAATTTTCACTTGCTTGTTCCCGTGGAAACACCAGTAGACGCATCTGATTTTAAAGCCCCCAAATGTGAGAACCATTGTTGCACCCAGTTGTTTCCGCGTATACATCAAGACATATAAACCATATTAGACAGTGATTGGAGTCATTATTTAACATATAAATACCTGTATTTATCATATATAAACCTTGGTTGTCGTCACACATAAAACGAGTTTTTTCCTATTTCAAAAAGGGCAGTTTTGCGATTTTTGTCTTATCTCGCACATGAAAAAAGGGATCCATATTTCAAAATGCGTCATAAAGTACTGATACGTGATGATCATTACTATCCAGATTACAGCGCATTATTTCGGTCTGAGTTGATAAAAGGAAGGTTTTACACCAATTATCACATGGCACTTTTTACAACCTTAAATCCCGGTCAATTGAAAGTGTTCTTTGATTTTAATACTAAATAAATAAAAGAGAGAGAGAGAGTAAGAGAGAGAGAGAGAGAGAGAGAGAGAGAGCGAGAGAGNGTAAGAGAGAGAGAGAGAGAGAAGAGGGGTACAAGATTTCTCACCTGCGCCTGTAGCAGAAGCATCATAGCAGAGGTATTGTTATATGGCGTAGCGGCGCTAGGTGGCGCGGCAAAGTCCTGCAGTTTGTTCTCTGGGAGCACGGGCCCAGGTAGCTGAAGAGGCGACGCCTGGGCGGCACTCGGCGAAGACTGGACGGGGAGATTGGGAGAGAGCGCTGAAAGAAAGAAGAAAAAATATTAAAACCAGTACGAATTGTAAATCTTGGCAAACATACGACGACTTCAGATCGTTAGTATGCTAACTATCGCTCAAACTCTTAACAAGTTTTCCACTCCCTTACCGGTGAGATGTGCTAACGGGCGCATGCAGTGCTCACGGAACTGATGAAAGAGCGTCAACTTCTTTCTTTCCCTATCGCACTCTTGTGTATTGCTTTATGTTGGCTGTCATATCGGTTCAGTTAACGTGCCAACAAAGCGTCCTGGCGTACGCTTGACAAGTTGGACATCGCCGTTACTTGACACATGTATTAATCTACTTCAGTGACCACTAAAACAGTGCAACAGATAGAGCGTCGCCCGCTGCATGCATTACACAGATTAAGAAAAAGTGAATAATTAATTCGCTTAAGTACCGCAATTAGGGATTGGAAATGTTATTGCATCTGAGGCGCGGGGTTCTAAGACATGCGCGGGGGCCCGGAGCCCTATTAATTATCTAATCGAATTGATTGTTTGAAAAACATGATACACCGCTCGTCAAAGTGGCCGAACTGTCGTATCGCAGATCTACTTAATCAATTAATCTTTCACACGGCGTCGTTATTTTAGTACCCTAGCGTTAAAAGACAATGCAAAACAGACAGGTAGCTGTCTCAAAGGATCATCAACTCCCCGGTCGTGGGCGTGACCGAAACACCCTAATTTCCGAGTAAATGCGTCTCTCCCCTCTTTGATGATGTCGCAGAACGCTTCTTGTTTTACTTTATCAACTGAAAATGAAAGGCTTCCTTTTTTAAACGACAGTCACGACGTTAAACCTTCTTCGCGTTGACGCAGACCCTATCTACATGTCTTGGTTCATACACCGTCTGATGAGCCGGCCATCGACAACCAGAGGCAGAATTTATTGAGAGAAGCACATTGCAAATGAATTCAATTCGACTACTGGGAGTTGGTGACATTTGAAATTACTGTCATACACCTTCATATTATATCAAGAACAATTAGTGGACTTTCAGTCAAGTGTACTGGAGCTGTGACGGGGAATGTCGGAGTCAATTAAGTTCCGATTTTCAGACTGCCGCGTTTTCACTGTGTTCTTGACGTTGAGAATAACGGCATGAACAATTATATTAATTGTTGCTGATATGTACGTTTTATCCCTTACTTTAAAAAAAACGCCCCTTATTATACATGTATTCGTATTCTATTGCAAAAAGGATTATAAGTTCTACTTAAATCTACTATCGACTTGTCAGTACTGACAATGTATTTTGAACTACTCTCTTGAATAATGCTTGATCAGTGTTATGTCACATCCACACTTATAAGCATTACAACATGTAAGTATTGTATGCTGGTGAAAGACACATATAGTTTTACAACATTTGTAGGGGTATCCATTGCAGATATAAAAAATGAAGATCAACAAAATCGATTTATAGGGTGGCTGTACACCTTTGTCTCCACTTCAATAAAAGACAAATAAAATTTGTGTTACGGCCAAATTTACGTCATAACCCTAATCCGTCACTCTTTGCAAACGATTTCGCTTTTCCCGCAAGCGTATTTCAACTTGCACTTAATCCGCAATCTTGTGGAGGGTTGCCGCCAGTCCTGAACTTGCAACAATGTTAAAAGCCATTTTAGCATCGCATCATTGTTCATTCAACAGATAAGCCATCAGATCGCATACAAAAAATCCACGGCTCTCTGGTATCAAACCCCGGCTTGTTTTTTATGCCAGTTGTTATTATCATATAAATGGTGTGTATCCCTGGGCGATTCTCGTCTGTGGTCAATAGCGTTGTATCAATTCACAATTTGACATGTTTCTTAAACCAACGAATCACAGTTCACAAGAAATGGTACAGGGAAGCAGTGTCACATCGTAAATCTTGCCGGAGAAAATGAAATAAAAGCTAAGCACAGGTTTTTGGCTTCATAAAGATTTTTAACTTTGAAAAATATTACATTATAGATCATAATGTAATTGGCACAAATAAGAAATATCATTATCGAGTTTTCGGCATAGATAAAACTTGACTGACGAGAACAAGAAATACAATTATTGAGTTTTTTCCCGTCTGCAGTGAATAAAAGAAGATAAAAAAAGCATTCAACACTTTTTGATTCATCAAACACTAGACCTACATCACAAAGAATAAGGTCTTAAAGCTGACGAACAAGCGATGATATATTACACTCATGTTGCATGTTTTGGTTTTGAACAATAAATAACAAATAATGAAAATGTCGCCCGTCTGTATCAAGCCGTTCCCATATGACCTCAACATGATTACAGGGAGGCAGCCACCTGCCTGACCCACGCCTACATAAACCCCCTGTTCAATTTCCCTTCCAGAATTGTTTATTTTCTCCTGATTTTTTAGCAAAATCCCCAAGAGTTTTGAGGTTTCTTACAAATTTCCGTTCCCATCCTCTGTGGCAGGCAGACGACAAGCTGGCAATTACTGTAACATCCCCAGTTTCTTTCTGGTTTGCATACAAACGACAGCGTCAGGAGTTAGCACGGCTCCTTTTCTTTGACTGTAGCCACCGGGCAGGGCTGTTAATCATATTTTATTACACATAATAAAGACATTCGTTGTTTATCACGTTAACAGCAACAGAAAAACACCTGGATACATGTAGGTAGGTACATGTAGGCAGTAAAGAGTGGAAACCTCAATTTGTAGGGGTGGTATATGATGTCGTTGTCAGTCTTCCTACTGACCAGTGTGCTGGTAATATATTTGGACCGTAAAGCTTTAACAGAGTGACATTTTTCAATAAATAAATAAATAAATAAATAAATAAATAAATAAATAAATAAATATGTCGCTTAGCAATTACACTCTGCCTTTACCTGTATTTGTCTCTGTCCACTTAAATATTACCAAAATTGTTACATTTGGGTGTTATGTTACGATGACCTCTTGAAGTATAGGGTACTAGTATAAACAGTATGCAAACCCATCAAACTATAGATGAAAAATCATGTCACAAAATAACCCACACCTCCAAACAGAAAGAAATTTTAACAACCCGAATGTCACATACAGAAAACACAACACGCCAGAGGGAATCTGTGAAAAATGTCGGCGAGATCAATCGTTTCATGAGCGCATATTCTCAACATAGTGCTATCTATGGGCGCGTGTTGACCTTCGCGTGCGCATGTGTGTTCTAAGACAAAAGTGAGGCATAACCATTCAAGGAGAACAAGTGGTGAACGCTTCCGTTATGTATGATGATTAACACCTCATATCATAATCCATATCCATTAATTAGTGGAATATAAAGCCAGAATCAATACATTTATTCTACTGGTGACAATACTGAGAGAGAGAGAGAGAGAGAGAGAGAGAGAGAGAGATCAAATATGTTAAGCTATTTAGTCCAAAGTGTTCCCTATTTTTCAACGTCTTTTCCGAAAAAAAAATCACTGGTCAGCCAAGAAAAGTGAACCCGGTCCATCGATCGAAAACCTGCCTTGTTTGATCAAAGATCACAGAAGCATAAAGAGGACATCTTCCGCACTCACACAATCCTCACCGAAGAAGAAAATCGCTCTGAATCAAATCCACCACGCGTCAATCTCCAATCATCCGCAGAACGTTTGTTCAGCACTCGAAGCTTTTCAAAAGGTCCATACATCGGCGTAATGACTGCAGTTGAAAAGCAATTCGGACAAAAAGTGATACGTCAATTGAGATATTACTGTCCGACTATTACATCTAAGGTAAGTATTAACAAGGACTTGGGGGTCAAGCGGCTGATTGTTCAGCAATGGCATTACCTACGCACAAAATTAAACTGTGTGTTTTTGTTTGAGCTTCTCCATCAATATCTCGTCGACTGTCTGACTGTGAAAAGACAAATAGTTGTTTGATGGTGGTTGCAGAAAGGTTCAGTGAGGACAAACATTTCCGTAAGCTAACAGGCTACGTATATGATTGAGGATTGGTAGGGTGGGGTGAGCGCCATATTGCTGAAATCTCCGCTTTTCAATTTCTATGCGACAACTTCAGTTCATACTAATGACGAGAAAAATAAACGTAACTTACGAAAGTGAGACATATGCATTTTGTGTAAAACGTCGAAATATTCCAAAATCAGAGCTTATAAAAGCATAGTCAAGAAAATTTAATACCTATCAAAATATGCATAATAATTCAAAGTCGAACTAACTTGCACCTTCAATTAATGTGTGTCAGACAACAAAAATCTGTTGAAAGGCACACCCAAAATATACATCGTACTATAACTAACCTGTGAACATATCCCACATGATTCCCCTCTTCAGTACAAATCTCAATTTTCGCTGACGCCCGCCGCTAGGCACCGACCTCGAAGCGCACCATAGCACACTACACGCCTTTCCAAGAGAGGATTCGGCAAACATGCACCAAAACGATTCTACTGGCCGTCTGTGTACATTCAAACATGCATACACACAAAAATGTTCTATTTTTCAATCATATCAGTTCGGGCTGAGATAATTTATATGTACCTGTGGGGATTCGCCTGAACCCAACACCGCCCTATCAAATGTGCTGTGTATGGGTCGGTTTGGCTATAAGCTATGAGCGGGTTGCGATAGGAGGCGGATAGGACTCCCCGGGCGCGGGCCTATTGTTATCAGTCTCCAGGCTGGACATCAAACATCAACGGGGCTCTCCCCCAACAGGGACTCTCCAACCGATATCGCAACGCAGTCCGGCTCAGCCACGTGAATTATTGATAGACTCCGATGACACGGTCGTAAACGTGTTATTGTTGACACTATAATTTTATCTTAATCGATTTAACTTTGGCATTTTACGCGGCGTTTCGCGAAACAATTAAAAGAGGGTTTACAAAGCTGTGAAGATACGAGACGCGAGAGGCCAGGCGTGTAAATGGTCTAATAGGAAGAGATGGGGCGGAAAATCAGGGGATTGCACGTAAAATGAATGGAGCATAATTGATAGGCAACTTCCCTGAGTTC